TTATAGAGTGTACACCCATCGAAGAGTGTGGGTATAAAAGACAAACAGATCTTTTGGTCGTTATTTGTGTCTAAGAAGTCACAAGAAAAGTTCGTAAGAGTGTGAGAAGAGAAGTCGAATATTTTGGTTTTAGTTGTAAGCGCCAAGTTGCTGAGACGTGTTTTGTCGAATTCGGAAACTTCTTGGTTGAACTTGACAATCACAAACACGAATGTGGCGTTTGTGCTTTTAGTTTGTTTGCCGAAGAACAAGGCCTCGACGGTGTCAATCATTTCCACAAGAATTTTTTCTGACTTAGGAAATAGAAGGACTCGCTCTAAACTGCAATTTTTCAGAATGACGTTTAAATTTTCTGTTGTCGATAGACTGACTAACTTTAATTTAGGCAAAGGAAATTGTAAAAGAAATGAAAGATTTTGTGGAACACAAGTGATTTGTTCCAAATTCAAAAAGTTGAGTTGTTTCGAAGAGATTTGACTCGACAAATACACCTTCAAATTTTTCTCGTTTTGATTGTTAAAAGTTATTGTTGAAAGGTAAACAAGTGGGCAGTTGAGTCTTTTAAGAGAAGGAAAAATGTTGATCAATTTAGAAAGAGGAACTTTGTTAGGTATGATCATTTCGTCCAAAACTGGATTTTCAGTAATTTGACACAACGCTTCTCGTGATGTATGAGATACAAAAGAAAACGCTTTAACATCTTCCAATTGATTGAAATACATAAGCACGTGAGATTTGTTTACAACATCGAGTGACACCATTTAATGACTGATTTCCTTGTTTTTGTATTTATTAAAAATATATAATTAATTATAGTTAATAGAATACTTGTATTATTGTTAACAAAATGAACGCATCACGATTTTATGTTTTTACTACAAAAACATTTTTATTGAACTTTTTTGAATTGTTTTTTTAAAGATAAAAAGTTTTCAAATTCAAAAAAAAACTCGTTAATTACCTTGTTTTTGAAATTGAAATAATAATTTGATTTATTCATTTATTTTGAAAAAAAATTATTGAAAGAACTTCCATTTAACACCATCAAAACAAAAATGTAAAAATTAGGCATAGATGGGAATGAATATCTGTCTAGGTTCTGTTGCGCTGCACGGCCACGCTTTTATTTGGAAACAGTCTGGTACATTTCTCATTTGACTCTCTGCTGGCCAATCGAAGAATTCACCCCTTTGACTTCCTTCATAACAGTATGGACTTGTTAAATAATAAGGCAAGAAAAAGTGTCTTGGATAAGGAACCCATCTCTTTTCAAAAGCAGCGATGTAATAACTATTTTCATAAGGGAATGCATAAACAAATCGTTGATTGTTTGTACCTGGAGCGTCTGAGAGTGGTGGATTCTTTCTCCAAATGATCAATACGTGTCCTTTCACAACAAAGTTTCTGACATCAAAAACACGTCTTGGGTATACAAATGATGTGAACATCTTATAAGCAGAAAACTCAAAGAACTGGAAGTCTCGTGTCGTGTTGAGTGGTCTTAGCATGATTGCTTGTTCATAGGGATTCCATGAACTTCGTAGTTCATTGACGTTGTCGAACTCAAAGTCAAAGGTAAATATTCTCCCTTTTCCTTTAACGTAGTCATCTTCCGTGAAGCCACGGTTATAGTCATAGTTGTATCCAGACGCAATAATAATCCTGCAACATGTTGTGCATTTAGTCCGGTCATACAACTCGTTTGTGGCAATAGTAGACCCTTTTTCTGGAGGAACCCCATACATGTCGTAAGCCAAAGACAATCCAAATAATATCAAAATGAGCATTTCTAATTTGATTTAGAGTTTGAGATGTTTTCTTTTGGAACAAAAAAGCCGCTAAAAATTTCGATTGAAAATATTTTTTCTATGTTTTACAAGCAGAATTCCAATTGTTGTATTTATTTGTAAAGTTTTGAAAAGATACCTTCTTTTGCTTAATGTTATAACTTATAAGTAAAAAGAAAAAATTTCGTTATTAAGAATTATAACCTATTTTTGTACTTATTTAAAAATATCGTCGTTTTATTTTTGAAAAGTAATGTTTTTAAATAAAAAGTTTCCCGATTTAATCCATTAATTTTTCATATTTAAATAGTTTTTCAAGTATTAAAAGTAGTAAATCATAACATGTTTTGTTTTATCCCAAAAGTACTGTGGTATTTGTTATTGAATAAAATATTACTTTTAAACTTTTTAAAACAAAATTATTACTAATTTATTGATTAATTAATAATATTTTTTATAAATCATTTTTAAAAAATAATAATACTATAAATAGATAAATACATTTTTTTAAATTAGAAAATCGAATAAAAATAGTATAAATAAATAGTTTTTGTTATTAAATTATTCTATTTATTTTATTTTAAATTCAAAAAACAAAGCTAAAATTGTCAATTTTTAAAACATTGTTTTTTTTTCGGTTTATCAATTATTATTCAGTTAGTGTTATTTTAATAAACTATACAATTTAATTATTTTATCCATAATTTGAAATAAAAAGCATTATTACTCTTAATATCGGGAATTATGCTTTTTTACAAAGTAAAGTTTAACTTCATGATTTGGACAAAACCATAATTCTATAATAAAAATGCTATAAAAAACAAATAAATTTTAAGTTTTTACTGATACTTTAAAGTAAAAATAGTAACACATAAGTCTTATCTGTTACCGACATTTTAAGTTTTATTGTAAATTGAATAAATTATATTTATATCATTTTAATTTTATTGAAAATAAAATATTGAATATTAATTATATTATATAGTCAGTCTGAAAACGTTGTCCAGGCATTTTTGGACCATCAAAACTGGAATATTTCGGGAAACAATTCGAAACAATCCCAAAACATTGTTTCATATTTTTTACCGGGATTTGATCGTTTTTACCTAATTCCTAAATTTTTCAACTTATTTTGTGTAAAATTTTGTCAAATGGACAACGTTTTTAGACAGACTTTATACCATTTTAATTATCATAAAAATATCAATACAATAAAAGGTGTATATTTGTTGCGCTACTGGCCAATTTAATTATTGTCTTACAATTAATTATTTTATTCTCAAATTGTAACTTTAGTCGAAACATTTGTATCACTTTTAATTAAAATGAACTCTACTTTCACAATTTTATATGAGAATTTTTTCTTCGATTTCTGGGTCGTTTAATTTATACCCAATTCACGGACTATAAGTTCCTTCTAGATATTTATTTCCCCTTTATGTGCTCGGGGCTCTCAAAATTTCAAACCCCCCGTCCCCACGTGGCAAGATTTAAGAACTCGATTACATTGTGATTTCAATAAATAGCACAAATCCAAATTATTTTTAGTTATACTTCAATTTCTTTGTTAATCAAAAAACACACAAAAACTAAAATAATGGCAAAAACCAAAATTTTAGCACATATTTTATAAAAATATAAAAATATAATTTCAAAGAATTTTTCTTTCACAAATTTACCAAAGTATATGTAATTAATATTTATTTTTTTATTTTATATTTGTAATAAAACATAGAGCCAGTCTTTTAACATTATCTTGTCTCAAACGATATCTAGTGGACAAAATAGCTTTAATATTGTCTAAAAATCGGGCATTAGGTAAAGTGTGAAAAAACCCGAAACAATTGGGATGGGTTTTTGGGACGGCTTCCCGAAACATTTCAATCTTTATGGTCCAAAAGGCACCAGATAACGTTTAAAGACTGACTCTATGTTCAACAGTAAGTATTGAATAAAAACTTTTTATGTTGACTGTTAAACACAATTGAAAACATGGATAGTGGTGCAACAATTAGTTCAAATACATCTATCATATGAAATAAATAAACATCTTCTGTTTGATTATCAAGTTTGTTTAAAACGCGAAATAATGTTAACTAATATAATTACACTTAAAGTCTGTTAAATTAAGTCTGAAAAACAATTGATAATTATTATTTTATGTTTTAATCAGAATTGAACATCAACTTGTGAAGCATATTTTAAAGGTGTAAATTTTACTTTAAAATTATTTCCAGCAACAACAAAGTATCAAATTATACTGTTATATTTACAATGTGGCTGTTATGTTATCACAAAGAACAACAGATTATCCATTTTTCATTTATTGAATAAAAAACCAAAGAAAAACTTTTGCCATTTTTATTTTTTATTTTTTATTTTTTTTAAATACCAACTAAAAAAATAAAGCCCAAAAAAATCGAAAAGACAAATTAAAACAATTTTGTTTTATTCAAACATTAAATTAGAATTGCCATCAAAAAGTTTATTTTAAATTTTCTGAAACCATTATTCAATAAAAATCAACCCTTGTCTTTTTAACTTTGTTTTTAAAAGCCCTGAATGTGCTTTTTGTTTTTGTAAATAAATCTTTTTGAATTCTTTTTTTATAATACTTTTAAATTATGAAATGATACACTGGACATCAGGCTGAAATTTACTTTTTAGACCAGGTGATATTCTGACGATTTCAATGTTTAGTGGTGTTTACACTTCTTTCTGAGTTGAAGCATTATCTATGAGCAACACAATTTATCTGCCTGCTTTTCAAGTTCTTCGCCCTTTTTTAAAGAGACCAGTTCCATATTTGGTCCAACATCCAATTTGAATCATCTTGTTTGTTCATGATCTTGTATTCTTTTAAAAAAAACACGAGCAACCTTTTTGGTTTTCTAATATGTAAAAATTTAACTATTGCAACTTGTCGCTCCCATTTGAGTTACATCAAACCATGATTGTTATTGTCTATTTTCGAATTTTACATTTTTGAGATTTGTTTTAATGTTAGACTATGATAAGGAAGCTGACGATAAAAAAGACCAGACTTATCTGTGTTATAAATATCAGACTTGTACTATTTGATAACCTTTTTCTCGATTTCTTCCATTTCAAGAGCGAGTAACGATAAGTCGACTAGCTCTTTAATCCCACACGACTGTAGATATCCGAGTTTGATCTTATTTTTGAATATTTTTACATATATGGGTATATCCATTATAATTTTGATCAGGTATTTTTCTTTTTCTTGTGTTTATCTGACTACCTCTTGTTGAATATAATAGTTTTTGTAACCACATACACTTGTTGTTTTTTAATATAGTCGTATAGTTTATCTATCATTTCATTGTTTTTACTTGTTCAAAGATGATTAAAATTTTTTATGTGTTTTCTTCTGTAAGATTCAAGTTGTTGAACAAGAATATTATAACTTGGATAATGATTATCAAAATCCACTTTAATGTCGTTCCAAAATTTTTTATTAATGGTTGAGTGTTTGTTGTTCAAATCTTTAATATATTGGTGTGCTTCTGTTTAAATATCTTTATATAGTTTTTTTTGTTTTTGTTTTATTTGTTTATTTTTCAATTCTTTTTTTGATATTAAAATAAAACAAATAATTATTATTTGACTTATTTTTATTATTTTATATTGTCTAATCATTAAAAAATTTTTTCAAATTCTGTCTTGTTCGGCAAATAAATTATATTTTTTCTGTTAAATTCTTGACAAATAGATTATTTTTATGTATCTTTGAGCTAAGACTATATTTGAATAATAAATTATAATATATTTAACTTTTCTAATTATAATATTCATAATTATTTTATATATTATTCATATTGTTAAAATATAATTTAAATGTTATAAATATATTAATTATTTACATATAAATTATTAATAAATATAATTAAATTAATATAAACAATTATAAAGTAATTTTAATTAAATAAATACTATATATTGCAACACAAAATAAAAATCATTTTATTTTAATTATGTTTAAATTAGATTTAAACATTGTATATGAATGAAATGCAAACTAGTTATAATTGATAGAATTTCAATTTTCAAATGAACGAAATTCTTGTCAATACTATAGTTGTTATTTTTTTGGTGTAGATTAGAATTAAAGAGTTAATTTAAGTAAACAATAATTGTATTTGCCGGACAGATAAAGCAAATAAAAATATATAAAGTGTTTTTCTACTCAACTTTTGTTGCTTCAACAATCCAAATACCGGCCATGTTTAAGGGAAAATCCTTGTATTTCAGGTAATTCCAAAACTTTTTCATAAATAAAATTTAACATCATTATATCATACTTTAATAATTCTGATTATCATTACAATTTTTTAAAGCATTATAATTGCCCAGAACAAACAATTATTGTCTGTTCACTTCCCCGTTAAAATACGTATTTTTCGAATATTTTTTGTCTATAAACACACCAGAAAAAATAAAAACCATTATTTCATTTATAAAAAAAAACATTTTGCATATATTTCTGTTTTGTTCCCATTTAATAATTTTTACTATAAAAATGTTGGATTTGGTTAGTATTATTTCAGTATGCTTTTGGTCTTTATTGAAACAACAAAAAAAGTATTGAACAAAAATACAATTTTTTAGGCAAACAGCTTTTTTCTATTTTTGTTGTTTTTAACCTTGTCCAAAAAAATACAAAAGACAAATAACGGCACATTTTCTTCGTTGTCAAGGAACTAAGGTAACTCCTTCTCAATTACGAGGGTGTTGCACAAAATGCCGAACAAGTTTATTTTTTTCATTTTTTTTAAATAAAAACAATACAATTTCATTTGAAAAAATTTTTCTGTGTTCCTTATTCCCTGTTTTTCAGCACCAATCCATTTATTATCTTCACCGAAAAATTGGGTTATGTTGAATTTGAAAACTTGTATTATTTTTATAAAACACAGTTTCTATATTTGAAATATGCCCACATTTTAGTGCAAAAAAGCCCAGCAAAAAAAGACAATTCTATATTTGTTTTTGAAGAAGGACATTTTTTCTATTTTTATGAAAAAAGCCGTTGATTGATTGGACGTTTTCATTTTCAGTCCACAAACCATTAATTACATTCAATAAACGATAAAAAATACTATACTTCTTTCACAAATAAACGTGGTTTATCTTACATACCCTCATCTTGCACATTATGGTAAAAATGAATGTCAATGAAACTATACAGAGCGTGAACTTTAAAAGCTGTTTTTAAACACACATATTATCAGATGAAAAAAGGTTCTGCGCGTCTGCCAAAAGTGGCAACAAGTGAAATGTTTACTCAAGTCTAGAAAAGTGTATATGATCGGGTTGATAAGGAAGAAACCAAAATAAAAATTGAAAAATATCTACCCCTTCTAGTATTTAATTTAACTGAGCAAGAAACAAACAATTCAGTCATGTCGAGCGAGCAAACGTTTACACCAAGGTATATTGTCAACAAGAGGAACCTCCAAAACTACGAGACGATGCAACACGCTATCTTGATTGGTCTTTTAAATTCGTTCTGCGAGTTTGTAGTAAAGAAGCCTCGGAAGCAGACAATAGTCCGACATTGCATGCCTAAACTTAAGCTTATTCGGATCAACGGGGAAGAACTCGAAGTCATGAAAATGGCTGATGACCACTGCAGACCTATGTACGATGAAGAGTGCAAGCGTGGCATGAATAAACAAACTGCTTTCAGACGGTATGAGAAGAACAAGAAAATCTTTGTTATAAACATTTTATATGACATTGCTCTTGAACTCGGCTTTTTTTTCGACGCCAAATTATCACGAAAAACCGACAAGAGTCTTCGAATCGACCGTATTCAAAAGGTTTTTTACAAAGGACAGTACTTAATGAATATCACAGACTTACTCCAAGTTGGCGAGAACATTAATGACTATATCAATTCATTGTTGGCAAAGGACAACAAAGCGATTCTGGGTATTGGAGACAAAAGCATTCAAGGATACTTCTCGAGATATGACATCGGACAGAAGGCGCTTAGTTTTAATTTGTGCTAAGGCACAGTTTTGTTCACAGTGTTTATTTACTTTTCTAACTTGTTTGGTTATGAGAAACGAAAATGTGGACTCAATCCATTTAGTGGTTATTTTGTTCAACTGCATTTTCTCGAATGTATATCACGGTATTTTTTCGCTAATCAAAGGGAGACTATCCCCATTGCAAATGGTGCACAAATAGCCTTTTTGTGTTTTTACAATAATAGTTCAACTAAAAATGATTTCAGTGTTTCCTTCCCTCATTGTCCCCAAAATAGTGCGGAAATCGGGGGTGTTGAAAAACTGGAATGTGTTAAATATAAAGTTTGTGGTTATGAAAGGCATGAGAAATAACTGACCAATTATGAGGGGTTTGAAAGATGCAAACATAAATAACTCTTGTTTTGTGCTTAACTTGTTTATATTTTTTAGATGATAACAATACGTCATATTATTATTTATTAATTTGTGATACAAAAATAAAAAACTTTAACTAGTATATTTTTAATAATTTTTTATTTCAAACAAAGCTTGAATAGTTGTTTGATAATGTATTACTATTTTAATATTTAATTTAATATTATTCATAAATTTATAATAATATAGGTTTTTTTTGTTTTTTCAACCAAAACTAACTAATAATGAACTATATAATTTTTTTAAAATAAAATATAATAAAATTAGCAATTTTATAAATAAAAATAACCAAAAAAAAATCAAGTGAAGATTTTCTGTAAAAAAAAGATAAAAAGATTCTCTTGTACGATCTATTAATTATTTTTATATATTTTCCTTTTTTTCTTCACAAAAAGACAAGAAGACTGACTATACTAGAATAGTACGGCATATCAAAGATATTGGAAAAGTTGATTTTTTACTGAAAGGAAATATTCATTGAAAAGAAAAAAGATATACCATAAAAATACTAATAAGATCCCATACTTATAGTACATTCTGTCAATTATGTGAATTCGAACTTGTTCGACTATTTCTTTCAAACAGCCATATCTAAAGTATCGGGAAATGAGTCCTTTCGTTCTTTAATACCTTCAACAATTACATAAACAATTAGAACCAATTTTCCAGAGAAAACGAATTAAAAAAATAGAATAAAACAAAAAAGTACATTTTTCTATGCGTCCAACTCTTCACGAAAGCCCTGAGACAACAACTTCCGACAGTTCAGTCTCACCACCAAAGTACTGTGTCCGACCAAGTGTCGTCAGTTTTATCGACACTATGGAAGTCAGTGAAGGGTCGGATTCCTCCGACGAACATACCATCTCGGAGGTCACTCCACATATGACATTGGACTCTATCTTAAAAGAAGAGCCAACAACACACCGAGAGAACAATCGAATCATCAAAGCCACTGAAAACGCACTTTTGAACGAAATATGTACTTCGACGACCGAATTTATGCAAACGTTCATGTGGACACATACGATGTTTATGTCAAGTCCTGACATGGTGCTGGGACTAACAACGCGATTTACAAAAGCGTGTGAAGAGTCGACGAAGAAGTCACTCGAAGTCCAAGTAAGAATAATGAATGCATTAAGGTATGTGTTGTTGGAGTGTTGGAGCGCGATATCAAATAAAAATGAGGTGCGTGACATCATTCTTTCCTTTTGCGAGACTTTATCAATCAGTGGGAAAGTGAAACAAGCGGAGTTACTCAAGACCAATTTGAACAAGAGACTTGAGGGCAAAGAAATTTTATATGTCGAAAGCGTCAAAGAACTCCGCCCACCTATCCCCCCATTCTCTGAAGTACTCAACGTCCAAAAGGAAATCAACATCTTTGATATCAGCCCACTTGAGTTTGCAAGACAAATGACATTGATGATCCATTCCGCCTTTTGTAAAATCAAGTTGTACGAGTTCTTCAAGTGGACGAATGAAAAAGTCGGGTGTAAGTCTCTCAATACGTTGGTGATGTTCTATAACAACTTCCAGAAGTATTTCCAAGTACTCATTTTAACAGCTCAATCAAAGCAAGCGCGCAACGATGTCGTCAAGTATTTGGTGAACGTCGCTCACTTTTGTCTTGACATGCGAAATTACGACGTGATGGTTTGTATCATGCAGATATTCACAACGGCATGTATGTTTCGACTCAAAAATATGTTCGAGGCAATGAGCACAGAAACTAAGACGCGGTACGATGAAATGGTGAAGATCTCTTCCCCAACAAACAACTGGGCGAATCTCCGGATTTTGATATCAAAGGATGTGGACAACCCACGGGTGCCTTATTTGGGGATAACTTTGAAGGACATGACATTCATTGCTGAAGGACATACAACACGTACAGATGACGGGCTTGTCAACTTCGAGAAGTGTCGAATGATGTGTAAAATCGTACGAATGTTTGATGAGACCAATATCAAAGGATTCAATTTCAAAGTCGAAAACAACATTCGGTGGTTCATCGAACACTTGAAGGACGATATGGACGAAAGTACAATGCTTGAACTCTCAAGTGAAATTGAGAACTCGAGTCTGATTTCAGTGAAGTTTGAACACAATGGAGAAATCGAGAGTGTTGAATGTGACAAGCGGAGTATTATCGAAGACGTATTTGGCACTGGAATAGGAATATTAATGAACAAAGGGTTACTTGAAAATCGCGTTCTTGACATGAAAAGCCCCGTCACGGAATTAAAGGTGGAGTTTGGCGACAGTTTTCTGGCGATGTACAAAGGCTTGAATAAAGTGCCATTTGTGTTTCGGTACGACACTCAAAATGTTTTGTTGTCGTTGGCCGTCGATGTGACGTGGGGGTTTTACGAAACGATTCCAATCATTCAATCATATATGATGGAACCAATCGGGTTCTTACCTTTAGTAATTGACGAGAACTACCGAGTGACTGGGATTCTCAATATAGAAGAACGAATTGATGAAACCCTGGACGGTGGATTAGGGTTTTACTTGTTGCCATTGGATTACTTCAATGCCCGAAGAAGTAAACTTGAAGATGACTTACATCGGTATCAGTACGCGCCTATATTTTGTCAGTACGACTTTAAAAATCAGAATGAGAGTATCGTGGTGTTACTCATCGACCATTTCATAGCGATGTATAAAGACGGGTTTTGCTTCAGACTCTTTCCTATTGACTTTGTGAGGTTCAATATAGTCTCGAAGACAAAGGCGTTTTACTTTGAAAAGATACCTGGGATGAAATATAAGTCGCCTTACTCGATTGATACTCCATTGGAGTTAAGTGGTGAAACGGAAGAGTTAATCACATTGGCGCAAAAGTTGCAGAAACAGTCTGGGATGCACGAGAGAACATTGATTGGTATACACCCTTCACTCACACATTTAGAGCGTGGGATACCTCTTTTGGTCATTGATTTAATAAAGAGTATATATACCGATGAGAACTTTGTAACAGAAGGTAGTCTCTTTAATGTTCCTATTGAGAACGACTTGAAGATAGTGGATATGTTTAACACTAATACTATCATAGGGAGCTTCAAAGAGAAAGTCGGGATCCTCAAACTCTTTTTGGAATGCAGTTGTACTCCATTTTTCTTACACTTGGACAACATCGACTTTTCAACCTTTTCGAGTTTGACGCCTGACCTCAAAATGAAAAAGATGAGGGATTGGACGGTTAAGGTCCACCCCTCGATGACGGGGATCTTTGTAGTGTTAATGAAAGTGTTTGCGACATACAATGCGTTGTATCCACAAACGGACTTTAAAGAGTGGGCCTTCTGTATATCAAGTGATGTCAAAGCGAGTGAGATCTTAAACTTCATAGTCAAGAACAGCGACCTTTTGAATGATGTGAAAGTGACGAGTCAATACAGTCTACCTATTGTCTGTTATGACAAAAAGACGTATGTGTTCACACAAGACGATTTCACATTTTTTAACGATGAAGTCCATTACGCATTAAACACTCCCACCTCCATCTTAAACTACTTCACGAAGAAGAACGTCCAAATCAATACTATCTGTGGAGAGACTAATTCTTTGGTCGGGAAAACTGAAGAGAAGAAAATGCTGATTGGGAGTAAACACGTCGAGGACGAGAGTACGATCCGCCAGACAATGACCCCGCAACCGTCGTGTAAACCACTCACTTTTGGCGTTTTAACAGAAGACTCCAAAAAACTCATTTTAGGAACTTCAGAGGAAAGATACGGAAATTTGTCCCCCCGTCTTAAACCACCAAGAAAAAGCGACCCAAATAAACACACAAAAAGTCCTATTTCTTTTCATTTCATTCCATTTTCCCCAATTTTTGGAAGATTGAGTGGGAAGGGAAAAGAAAATGGAAGGAAGAGTGGGAGCACCCCCAGAGAATCGGGATTTCACGAGGAACAAAAGATTATCCCACTCGAATCGTTGAAGGAATGTTCAGGGGAAAATCCTGATATTTTGGAGGAAACTCGTGGATTACCAGGTCTTGGAAAAATTGAGGCAAAAGATTCACCCGCACTCAGAAGAAAAAATGAGGAAAAGGAGAAAAAACGAAGGAATGTCGGGTTTGCAAATTTCACATATCAAGACGTCATTTTACAGGGAAACAAATAGATCGTTTATAGTTTTTTATTGTTCAACTTTAGTTACTTGTTCAATAACTCAACGTGGTGATTGAAATGTGAAAACATTTGAAATCAATTGTTAATGTAACTTTTTATCGTTTTTTTACTATAAGTGTGGTTTCTCGTGTTTATATTTAGAAAAAGTGATTAGTTGATTTAATAGTACAAATAACTATTAGTATAATTTCAATCAATCTATTTTTAAAAAAATGACAAAAAGATTGTAATTGGTAGAATGACACAATATTTGAGACTGGAAATTAATGGAATAATAGAAATGAGCGCGAGACATTACGCGGAAGAGTACCAGAGGATTGTTGACTTCGCAATGCCCATCATCAAAAAGTATGACGAGTTGACACAACCACTCGCATTCTGGGTGTTTGATATTAAAGGCGTAGAAGACGCGATTGCACTGTGGAAAAAGGCAATGCCACACATCAGACCACACTTCGCAATGAAGAGCAATCCAGAGCCACATCTTGTTGAGTTGCTTGGAAACCTCGGGTGTGGGTTTGACTGTGCGTCTCTTGGCGAAATCAAAGAAGTCCTCAAACTTGGTTTCTCGCCAGCTGACATCACTTACAGCCACTGTTTCAAGCCGTACGACCAGTTACTGAAAGCGTACGAACTTGGAGTTCGGTTGACCACCGTTGATTGTATTGACGAGGTCCAAAAGGTGAAAAAGTACGCACCAGAGATGGGGGTGATGGTCAGAATCCTCCAGAACGATGGAACAACAGATTTCTCTTATGGAAAACGATTTGGGCTGAAGCCAGAAGAAGTTGAGGAAGTTGTTGCCGAGATCGCAAAACAAGAACTCAAAATGAGAGGAGTTCATTTCCACATTCGTTTTGACTCGCACAACGAGAAAACAATTATCGAGACATTGAAGTCCGCAAGAGACGTTGTCACCATCGCACAGAAGTACGGTCTCAAACCCGACTTATTTGACATTGGGGGTGGGCACATGCAAAACGAGGACTTCGAAAAGTTCGGAAAATTGTTTGAAGACACTATTACAAGTCTTAAATTCCCAGACGGCAGCCACTTTATTGCAGAACCTGGTCGCTTTTTGTCTTCAAATGCCTTCCACCTTGTCACTTCCCTTCACGGCAAAAAGGTAAAGAAAGTGAACGGCGAAAAAATGATTGACTACACGATTGGTGACGGTGTGCATGGGTGTTTGGCTTTTTGCTTCATGTTCAAGAAAGAGCTGCCATGTTTCTCGCCAACGTGCAAGAACCCAAACAAGGTGAATTCTATCATATATGGGACGACGTGCAACGGCGCGGATCGTGTATCGTCTGGGTTGTTCCCAGAAATGCAGCCAGGCGTCGACTGGCTTATTTTCCCAAGCACTGGAGCCTACTCTATCACCCTCGCTACAAACTTCAACGGCTTCAATTTCAGACAACACGACGTCTACGTAATGCCAAACAAAGACGTCAAGAAAATTGAGGTACCTCTTAAAATCGAGAAGCACTCTGTACATTCCTTAGTCTCGGGTGTCTCTCATTGGATCAAAAACGAAAACTAATTCGTGTTTTTCCAGTTCTGTTTTTATAATAACAATTATATTACAATTTAACCATTAAAACCAACAATACAATTCTATTTTTGAAATTTCAACTAAAATACATTTTTCGTTTGATTCTGGCTTTTGATGGTTGCGAGTTTGGCCAGCTTCCGTTTCTTTATTGCAGCCACCAACATGAGAACAGTTTGATGGTATTTGTCTTGCTCTTCGGACTTTCTAGGTTTTTTCTCTTCGTCTTTTGTTCTTTTTCTTTCTTTCAATTTCTCAGTCTTTGAGTCTGCTATTTCATCCATTATTATTTTAGCAATCTCCATTGGCGTCAATCTATCAACAGCGTCGAATTCAGCGTTGTATCTTAGACAATACTCTCTGTGCCACTTAACAAGGTCTTCTTTCTTCCCCGTACAGTCGATTCCAAATTGCCTCAACTCCTCTTTGATCTTTGCCGCCTTCATGGTTTTGTACTGTCTCAGACTAAGTCTATGTAACTTACACTCAGAAAACGGTGGTGGAATACATTTTTTATCCAAAAGGATTTTATTTTGCAACTCGATGTTTGGCCGGATGTTGGATGTCTTCACTGGCCTTTTACAGATGGGGCAACTCATGTTATTTGATATAAGCCTTCTAATGCAGAGACTACAAACTATTTGTTAATATATTCGCTCGATTTGTTATCTGAAATTGCCACATTTGAACGTATAAATCTTCGAAAACAAACAAGAGTGTTGACAGGGGAGTATCACTGCTCCATGCATTATATTGTCTAAGTATCAGTCAATTCCTGTTTTTTGACATCATTTGTACAATCTTAACTACAAACGACATATGGAACACGTGTCTCTCGTAATATCGACATATTCTCCTTGACAAATCATTTCACCCATATCACTTATATTTCGAAGTTTTATTTCTATTTGTTCCTCAATTTAAATGGTTTATTGTTAAACCTTATTTCCAATATTCAAATTCTGATACTTTCCCGTTTTTTAAGTATTTTTTTATTCATTTTTTCTTTCACTTTTTTACTGTTTTTCTTAACAAAAAAAAATATTGTTTTGTAATTTTTTTATTATTATTTATAAAAAATGTCTTCGGTGTTTTTTTTTCAATTATATTAATAGATAGTTTAATTATTACAAATATTAACAAAGAATCAACATTTTGCTAATTTCCAAAATATTATTCATTAACTATAAAAAAACTATATTTAAACACCAATTTTAATTTTAAGTATTTACTAATAAATTATACATATTTTACTATTAAAAAAATGGTTATGAAACTATTGTTCCAAAAACAGTCAACCATTCAATCACATCGAAAAATACATCAAATTGTTTCGAAACACTTTACAAGTGCTCTCTTATACCTTATCAAATTGTCTCTGTGGATTTCTGCGATGTACGAGTCAAAGCTTTTTTGAAGCAACACAATCTTCAATTTTTCGGCAGTTTGCATGAATTTAGCACCAAAGTAGCTTTTCGTTAATACTTTTTATCTTCCAAACACACGAATGAGGCTCATAACAAACTTCATGTTTTTGATCGAAATTGGAGAACTGTATCCAACGACCACAAACGTTTTCTTTTCAACGTCCAAAACAGTTAGAACGAGTGGAAGCCACTTTTTGTATCGCCTTGATGCAGTTTCAGCTAAAAATTGAGCGAGTTGAAGGGCTTTATATGTCGCTTTGAATTTAGAAGCTAACAGTGGGTCTGTTACGGAGCAAAATCGATATCTATTCTCTTCGTTTGTAATATTCTTCGACAGCATCAACATTATCCCCGTCTCCACCATCACTTTATTGACTTCAATGCACTTCTCAAAACCTGGTTTGTATGCCTCTGCAATGTCAGAAGATACCAACTTATACCCCTCCCAAAACTGCGTTTGCCACGTTTTGTCTTCTTCGTCATTTGTGATCACCGTCGAAATCGCGTAGGTTGCGTCGATAGCGCTTATGGTGTAGTCCGACCCGTGCTTTCTGAAAAACGCCGGGAGGAACATATTCTCGAATTTGTAGTACTTCGCGTACCCATCGATTTTCGACAAGAACTTATTCTTCATTTCGAGGCCCATTGTTCTATAATTCTGTTTGGCTTGTGCGAGTGGAATACCCATATCCGCTATTAAAACATCAAATTTCTCTTTCCCACGACTGTTCCATATGCCAAGCCTTGAGGCTATTTCTCTTGTGTGGAATAAAGAGTCGTACAGAGTCCAATGGCGTAATAACATCAATTGACAATCCATTTTAATGCACATATCTGTCTTCACTGTTTGAAGCAAATCAGTGCTTTCCAGTATCTCTAATTTAAGACTCTTTCTAAAAAAGTCCATTGCATTTGAGTACGTCTTTGCATTTATTTTGAGAGTGACATATTGGTCCGCTAAACCTATCGCAGCATACCAATACATCACTTTACTCACGCGTTTGATTTTCATGGCTATACCAAGAGCTACACGGGCTACACTTTCCGAAAAGAACTCTCCAGTAGTTACTGTTGTCTTCCTAATATAGTCAATGGGTGTTTCTTTTTCAGGCTCTAATAACCCCATACAGTCATCAGAGCCTTCGATCAAATCCGCCTTCTCATTTTGTGGTTGGTCTTCGATCTGCAAATACTCCAGATGAGTCAGTAAATGAATGTGTTGCGAAGAGACGTTTTTGGGGTAAAATGGTCTGTGAGAATCTAAGACGTACACCGATATCTCTAACGTCTCAGGGACTATCTCTTCAATATCTAAATTTGCTCCACAGTCGATAAAGATGACAGAATGAACGTCAGTATGTTTTAAAGCATCTTTAAAACAACGGACCAATGTGTCTTGGTTGTTGACCGGAATCGCAGTGTGAAGAATTCCGTCGCATTGAAAGAGCATTGTAAGTATCTTGTAACACACAATGGCATCAACAGTCGGGGCTATAAATATTTGTACCGAACGCTTCCCTTTCCCTTGACTTATGTTACATATCTCCCCATACATCTCTTCAAATTTGTCTGCTGTGATCAACATCAGACTTTATTTCCGAGTTGCCATTTTCTCTTTTTTAATTGACAAGCCTTTCGATTTTTTTATTTATTTGTGGTGAAATTTTTAGAGTTTATGATTCTTTTAAAATAATTAGGACTGAGGTTTTTATGTATTTTTGGTTGAACTAAGCAGTATTCAAATTATTATTAATTTATTAATATTTATTAATTATAAAAAATATTAATAATTTATTAATAAAATGTTATTAAAAATATTTATTAAAAATGTTATTAAAAATGTTATTAAAAATGTTATTAAAAATGTTATTAAAATGTTATTAAAATGTTATTAAAATGTTATATATTGTATATAAAAGTGCTAAAGAAAAAACTGCAAAAATGGATTCCAGACTACTTTTTGAATAAATTTCCAGTAAAAATGGAACATGTGGCGACTTTTATTTCAAACAGAACCCCAAAATGAACGAACAGTAAAAAGAGAATGGAACTTGAAAGTACAAAAAATGGCTTTTTTCAAACGAACATTCCAGACCGTCAAGGAGGCAGTTGGCACGAGTAAAAAGACTGACGACACTAACGTAAATGCATTAAGATTGGAGATAACAAATTTGCTCAAAAAGCTTCGTAAAGTGAATCAATCATATGTCAAATTACCGGACACAATCCGTTCGTCGACCGTTTCACATATGCAAGCAATGAAAGATATGACGGACGTACTTGGGGAAGGGAGTTGCAGTTCAACATGTTACTCAGTGTTTGAAGAAATAGACATGAAAGGCCATCAATATGGTCTAAAGATTAAAGATGAGGTCTTGACGCCTCTTTCGCGATTAATCGATATGTGCATTGTCCTCGACAAACGTTTTAAAGTGCTTACCGAGCGAAGACTGGACATGGACGCCGCCCACGACAAATTTGAGTCAATAGCCAAAAGACCGCCCAACAAGCAAAGTGGGTTAGTCGAAGTAGAACAGTCGTACAACGACTTCAAAGACTTCTATGAGTATTTAAGAGACGAAATTCTTGACGATGGTGCAAAGTTTGTAGAGGAAGTGAAGAAGCAACTTCCACAAATATGCGCCAACTGTATGAGAAGTTATACAGACTATATTAATGATACCAATGAGATCTGGGCAAAGGTACCTAATCTCATCTCAGCAATAGCTGTCGTCGATTTACACACCGAACTTCCAGTCACTCCAAATGAACAGTCTTGTGTCATTCTTGAGAATGTTAGAAGTAAAAGGGGAAGCGACGTTTCCAATGGCACTATTAAACAGAACACTGACTACTTCCCAACAACTCAACAACCAGCCGCAAGCATTCCACAACAACAAGGGTTCGACCAGCCACAACAATCAGTGCCTTTACCACCTCAAGACAAACCAACGCCAGTGAGTAGTGTGGTCACTGCTTTATACGATTACACCGCTGCGGAAGAAGGAGAATTGACATTTAAAGAAGGTGACGTCATAGAAGTACTTGAGAGAGATGGCGATTGGTTTGTGATATTTATTTATAATAACATTTCTAATAACGAACTATTACAATTCTATTAGCTTTACATAGTATTATATATAACTATATATATATTATATATTTTATATTATTATAATATACTATTATATATTAATTATATATTAATAAATAGGTGGAAAGGAAAAACCAAATCTGGTGTTACTGGTATATTCCCATCCAATTACGTACAGTAATTCACTCTTTTTTATCACATCACTTTATTGTGTGCGGCGATGTGTGTCAGTTTTGGTCGAAACAACTAAAATGATGTACACGAAATATATTTAGGTAATGAGTTGATTGAAATACACTGCATTAAGCTGATTGTTCTGGGTCTTTCTTCTCTTCCTTGTCTTGCTTTTTCACACAAATGACACTAGTCTTCAGTTTTGGACGAATTAAGCTTTCTTCTTTGTGTTGGATAGAAGAGGTTGACGCCGACATCGACCGTGGAAGTTGTTGCAACGCGATTTTCCTTGGTGTGACTTCCCTTCGTGGTGTGCATAACGGTGCAGACGTTGTGGGGTCGAAGACAGAGGAGAATTGTCGTGGTGTGACACTGCCTATGAGTGAGAAGAAAAGTTCTATATATTATAATTACATAACTATAAAAACAAACCATATTCGAATGGGTTGTCGATGGTGACATTTGCGACGTGACCCGACTGAAGAAGCTTGAAAAATATGTTATAGTACTCTGCATTGGACAGTTTCTTATCGATAACGATCTCTCCGGCGAACGCGTCGTTCATCATATCGGTAGGGAATGAAGAGACTGAATGCCCATATATTTTGAATGGAAATTCTCTTTCTGGAGGCACCCAATTAGCCAAGTCGCTTTGTGTTACTTCGCTTATATTCTGTGAAGTAAAAAAAGGATGAGCTAAAGCTTGTCCCGGCGTGAGTCTCGAAGAGGGGTCATAGACTAAGAGTCTTTTCAATAAGTCCAACAAGCATTCTCTAATAGCCACATTATTCTCTTTAATATCCAAATTCAGTTTCATTGGGTTCTTCATTATGATATCACTTAACTTTGCATAGTACAAGTAGTTCTTGTGAGGTGGGAGTCGAACATTATTTTCCCACTCATACTCAAAAGACTCTTTCAATCGGAATTTCCCAGTCCGTTTGACTTCTTTAAAAAATTTCATTGAAGTCTTCCCCGTCAACAAAAAGTCGTCTGAGGGCATCCCAACAGTTTCAACAAACCGAGCTATTAAATCATATTCACTACTCGCTGGAAACAATGGAACACCTAAAAACATTTCCGCTATAATACACCCCACACTCCACATATCTATCGCATTGGTATATTTCATGTTAAACACGATTTCAGGGGCTCGGTAATGACGAGACTGGATGTACGTGTACAACGTGTAATTCTCAAAACATGCACTTCCTAAGTCAATCAACTTCAATTCGCCATTCTCCCCCATCAAGATGTTCTCCGGCTTCACATCGCAATGAATGATCCCAGACTCACAACAACTCGAAACAGATTCTAATAATTCCGTCATCATTTGTTGGATCGTTTGTAACTTGATTCCACTGTTTCTATGCAGCTTGCAGTACTGATACAAATTTTTACTGAAAATGAGTCTGTTTGTCTGTACTTAAACTATTTAATAATTATAATATTAACAATATTAACAAACTCTAATAACTCGAACACAATACAGAGATGGTCACAAAACATGAAGTGGTCATACATTTTCACTATGCGTTCACACCCACTATCAAAGTAAGTGTTTAACTATTTGTTATTATTCACTTAACTATTTTAAATGATAGAAGAAAGAAATACAAACCATAGTTAGGGCAGCACACTCTAAGAGACCTTGTCGGAGATACGCCTTCTTGTTCTTGAGGATTTTTACTGCAACAAATTTCTCGTTCTTGATGTCCCAACACTTGAAGACTTGACCAAAAGTGCCATGTCCAAGCCGGTCAATGACTTTGTATTTTGTACAAACATCTTTGTCCATTGAGAATAACATCCCTTCAAAAGAATTGAAAGTCCCGAGTGTCATCCCCCTATACACAATTAATTCGTTTTTTTCGTTGTCTAATCCGTAGTTGTGACAAGACTCAAAAGGGTCTGTTAAAGAGTTCTCCCCATTTATTTGTGGCTTCTTATCACAGACGCGATACGTCTCATTAATTCGTGTTGTCAAAAACCTCACTAACGTCGTTGAAGTGCGGGGAATCAATGGCTCGTACGGCTGATAATTTTTGAAAGCTGAGGCCATTCTGCTGGTTTAACATTTTCAAGATGGTTCAACTTGATTCGTGTTTTTTATTCTTTTCTTTTTTCATAGAAAATGTGTTGTACGTTTTGAAGGGTATTTGTTGGCCTTTTTGGGTGGAAGTTTTACTCAAGTTCCCCTTTTCAAGTTCCTCAACATTGGAAATAAGAATTCCCATGAATTTGGTATTATTAATATTTTAATTTATTTATTAGTTTATTAATTAATAATTAATTAATAATTGTATATATTGTTTGTTATAAAACACAAAGAATAATACAATGATGGTCGAATATTGTTGTAATCAGTTGCTTTATGAGTTGGTTTCAAATACTGTTTGGTGTTGTTTGTTTTGTATTAAATAATTAAATAAATAATTAATGTATAATTGTTGTTTTAATATAGTATACATTACTACAAATTATTATAATTATTAAGTTTGATGTTAAACAATTGTATTAATCTTTCTCATCATATTTCACATTCTTTCATTAATAATAATTATTATAACAATTATAATTATAATAACTATACAATTTAGTTTTATTAAAAATTACTCAACATTATTAAAAAATTTTAAAACAAAAATCAATATATTATCAATCAAATTGTAAATAAAACAATTAGAACAAAACTAACCATCAAAACCAATACAATAATTATAAATTAACAATACATATGTTAAAAGCAATAAGGCCGAAATAGTGTCAACTCAAAAGAGTAAATATGGAGGATGCCCGTGCCATATTAAAAAAGTTACAAACACCGATCCAACGGAATGTGAGTCGATGTGGTTTTTTGGAGTCGTATTTGGTCTTTTTCTGATGTTCATTGGATTATTGTTTTTAGTCATTTTATTGTGTTGGCCCGAGACGTTGCAATATTGGGAACGTAACAAATGTTTTGCGATGCGAAGTGATTTATCTCCGGAGTACATAGACTCGTATGTCAAAGAGCGCATGAAAGCTGTTGTTATAGATGTTCGTGACATCGACCTAACCAATGAAACGGTGTTACGGGACTTTTCGCAATTATATAAGAAGGCATCGACGAACAAGTTAGATGTTTACGTGAGCTTATCACCGGAGAATTCTTCAGTCATTAACAACGAGCTGAGAGGCTTTTCACTCAATGGCGTCTTTGTTGACAGAAATGAGATTCGCGAGCCCAATAACCTCTTAACTGCGTTCAATGCGGTGAATGAATACAAAGTGAAGGTCAATCCCAATTTTTCATTTGGGTTGTTAACAAACTTCAAAGAGATTGTTGATCGCTATTACTTCGACTATGGGGTCTTTAACGTGTTTTCAAACAACAAGAAGGAGGTCCTCAATTTGGTGCAATACGAGATGAAAAAGGGCAAGGTCTTAATTCAACTTGATATCTCATTCTTTGGGAGTATCGATAACGTGTTTGATATGGCAAATTACATCGACACCTTCTGTGACTCCGACTTGAATTTTGTTGGGTATATAGTCAACTTTGGGTAATTCAGTGTGTTCTTTTGTGTCTTTTGCAATAACACTTTTTCCCAAGTATTCAATGAAATGTTTTGAAGACTTGTTAATCTCATAATTCGAACTGAGAAAAGTAATATGCCGTCCACAAAACGCGCGTTCTCGACAACGTCTGTATTTCTTTTTGTTTGTTGTTACATTCAGTGAGTGGACCATCTTGTGTTATACCATTTGTATGTAACAAACTGACGAAAAGACTATGGGTGCCATCGCAATATTACTCGGAACAATGCTTATAATTTTAACTAAAAACACAATGCACTTTTTGCCGACAATGTTAAAAGTGTTATTGTCTTTAGCGGTGTGTGGTGGTGCAGTTGCGATGGTCACTTCTATGATAGGAATATATAGTGGGTTCCAACTGAAACGGATGTTTATCTATATCGTTTGTATTAGTTAACATTTCTACATTAATAGTATTACACATCTATTATTAATTTATTAAAATATATACTATAATAGTATAGTACTCTATTACAAATAATAGTAGTAGTAGTATTAATAACTTATACTATAAAAAGACTGATATATAGTATATAGGAGGAACAACAGTCACTGCCATCTTTTTCATTGCAACCGCCGCACTTGGTTTTGTTGGTGCGTCCCTTCCCGACTGGTCACTGACCAAATTCTGGAATGGCCTTACTCCAGATCAAAAGTCATTTACTGAAGTTGCTGTTTGTTTTTACAGCTTTTAAGTAGCCAAGGAACCGAACTACTCCAAGAATTAATAAGAATTATTAACAGTGTAGTATAGGTGTTGTGGGTTCAAATCTTTCCAACAAGATGGATGTGCGTTTTACCCGATAGCTGGTGAAGTCATGGCTCCCTGTTATAGTAAATTATTCTTCCCATATAACGCTCTTGTGATCATAGTATTAATCATGGGGGCACTTGCTACCGTGTTGTGCTTCTCATTTGTGGGGATGGCGATCTACTTCATTGTCACCTATGAGGTCGGTTCGGACGAAGTCGACAGTTCGTATGCTAAAGTGAATGACAGTGATGACGAAAGGCATTTGGATGAGCCCCTTCTTGATACCAAAGGTGACAAAAGTGAGAGTAGTGGCGACAAAGAGTCTGAAGCCGACTAATCGCTATTTAATTAATTCATTTTTCCTTCACAACACATCGAAGTAAACAAGTTAAAATTAATTAGATGTATTCAATTCGACCTTTTCAGATTCCGCCATAGAAATCGTTCCATCGCATCCAGACGATGACGTCCACTTGATCGCAATCGCTTCGTTGATCCATTTCGCCGCATTCTTTGTGGTTAACATGAATGAAGGCTTTTTCACACATACGATAAGTCTTCTTCGGCTTTGACTCTCGGAAAACGTCTCTCTCCGCTCTTGAACAAAGAAGTCGTCGACAATCCAATTCGTCGTCGGAATGATTTTAACAGTGAAAGAGAATGCGGACGGGTTATACACTACACATGAGACAAGTAACACTTCTTCTATTGGAATGATCTCCCATTTATCGATAAGGAGACCTACACTGACTATCACGCGAATAGGAACTGAGAATTTCCTTCCAAATCGCGCTGTTCGTGTCGTCGCAAAGTTAATTTCAATATCGATCTTCGACACTTCTCCTCTCGCAGATATAGCAAGTGGTATTTCGACGCGTTGATTCGGAAGAATAGGTAAAATAGATTGCAAAGGCTTTGGAATAGTAACTTCAGTCAATTTAGTCGAGTCGTCATCTTTAATACGGAACTCAACCCAATCGACAGCTAGCTCGCCGTCGTTGACAAACTCCAATTTACTCTCATTCGTCTGACCAGGAAAAAGGGCAATAGCTTTAGACAAGAATGTTCCTGGAGCTGGTTGGAGTCGTGGGACACTATTCACCACGGGAATCACACAACATGGCGTCAAGTCTTTCTTTCCTCTAAAATTGGCAGGGACTGTTCTGAAATGCATTGAACAGCAGTCAAAGTCGAGTCCATAGATCTTCAGAACCCCCGCATGCTTCGGACGAATAGCGTAGTTAAAGACAGTGGTATTGCTCTGTGCGATATCGACACATTTGAAGTGCGTCTCTATATCTACACCTTCGCACCACGGCATAATATTGTCGACTTGTAACATCGGATATAACGGATTTCGCATCTTAATAGTTACATACGCAGTTTCATTGGCACTCCAAGCAGTAAACACATTGCGTGGAAGTGATGGGTCGAAGATGAAGACACTCTTACCCTTCACTCTCCCCACTATTTGTTCATTCTCTTGTATCGGCGTGATAGTAACACTTTCTACAATAGGAAGTGATGGCATATTTGGCCCAATAAAGACGGGTTTCCCTAAGGACTGTGAAATTAAATGAAGACGATTCAAACTTTCAATTTGGTCTCGATCACTCACATGTTCGTGGAAGTAGACTAACAGTCGTAATAAGATGACGGCCATGTTCTCGTCGTAGACATCCCGCATCATCACCTTCTTCATCATGACATAAGCTCGCAACGTCGACCATTGCACTTTCCGTTGCATCACTGCATGTGGGCGTGTGTTCTGATCGATAAATTCTTGGTCCAGTAACTCCAAATCTTTGACACCAAGTAACTCGGACAGTTCTTCTATGCAATACATCTCAAAAGACTTTGTTGTTGTCTTATACGCAGAAATTGCATACAACACGTGTTGTCTGTGGTGGTTCATATGCATCTGCTTTAACAAATGGTCGAACACCAAGGCGGAAAAGACGTCTTCTGGGCACGAGATCTTTTCGTGGTGTTTTGAGTCGATTTCCTCAATCAGTTGCGTCATTCGCTCTTTGTTTTTCGCTTTGATGTAGAATTGTGTTTGGAAAAACAAGAGTTCTTTGCAGTAGTAATGTCCTATATTCTGGCCATCTATGAACTTCACAGAGTCTTTGATGGTCTCTTCCCACTCCTTAGTGTATGACGCCAAGTTTCTCTTTGATGGATCCAGTAATATAGACACACACAATCCAATGACACTTCTGTTATATAACTTGCCATTGAAATTTTGAGCATTTTTATATGCCTTAATACCATCAGAGAACATGTTATAAGCGTTGTCATAATTCTTTCGATACAAATTTGCCATTGCGCATCTCAAGTAAGAGATCGGTGGCACTTTATTCTTGAAAATTGGGTTGTACCGTTGGATTAAATGAGACGACTTATCACAGAACGTCCCAACATGTTCTCGTGCGAATGCGTGAATGGAGTTCGTTGACCCAATTGCAAGGGAGTCGACAGTGAAGACAATATCTTTAACCAAAGGTGGGATCTTCCCCATATAAATGTCTGAAGCCATTGATAAGTTGAAGAGTAACACCAAATTGCCACAGGACTCTTCGTATCGCTTTTCTGAAGACTCTTTGAAGTCCATCACATATTGAATGATCTTTTTATCATTCAATCCACTGCAGTCTAATACACCAAATATAATTTGTGGGAAGAGAATGTTACTTGCCTCTTTCTTAAATAATTCCCAAGTTGTCTTTTCATACAGAAATGAAAACGTTTCAGAGTTCTCCATTTCACGATACGCCCTCTCATTAAACCAAATCGTCGAGACTACTTCTAAGAAGAAATAATCACTCATCTCTCCAACGGGGACTATTAATATCGTCGGTTTATCAACATTGTCAAACCCATACACCTGTTGGTCATCCTTCTCTCTCATTAACTCTTCTCGTGTGTTTTTCATCAGTCGAGGGTTGTAACTCGTCTTCTCGATTTTACTCAACGCCGCCAAACATCGCGTCATCGACATGTACAACTCTTGATCGCTCAGTACAGTGCTTTTACTCATCGTCAGTCGCAATTTGGTCTTCAGTGAAATATCGCCCAAACTCTTGGGACAAGTGTTTGCTATCGATCCACACAAATCGTATATAAATCTCTTCACTACGTCGTCTTCCTCGACATTTAGTCGTTCAATGATTCTCCTCACAAAATTTGGAGTACATACCAACGAGCTCTCGTCAACAGCTTTCTTCAAAAATTTCAGAACGGAGATGACAAATTGAGGGTCTTTCTCCTCACCAACTATCGTCTCTGTTTTCTGCATCACGGCTATCGCAATATGGTTCAACTGACTATGTGTGATGTCTAACATGATCTTTTCAAGACAATTCAATACCCACTTCATCTCGTCGTTGCTTCCACTGCTTTTCATGAACTCTTCTAATCGTTGTGAAATTGGCGGTTTGTCATTTTTCGGTTGAACATACGAAAGTCGGACTTCCTTCGTTTTAAACACTTCGTTCATCAATTTAAGACTGGAGTACTTGGGTACAACCGCGTCTAAAAGATCATTGCCATGTTGCTCATACCACAGCTCCACAAATATTTGATTGGACTCAACCACAGCTAACAGCTTTGAATAGCAGTCTTCTATCAATTCGGAGTCCTCTGGTTGAGCATATTTCCCTAAGACCCCAATGATGAATGTGATTAAATATGTCGCCGCAATGTACTTCTTTGATATCTCAATTTCCGTGTTTTTAAAGATAGCAATTGGGAAGGTGTCTAATATATTCAAAAAGGTTTGACTCAATTTATTTGGCTCGACTCCTGTTATCAACACATTTGAAATGTACGAGAACACACTTAAACAGAGTAAAACATTCGAGTCTTCAATTTCTATTGGAATTTGTAATACATTACCCACACTCACTGTATTTTGATTGTTATTCAATATTTCAATGGCATACTTCTTAATGTTGTAATCAACTGAATTCTCACATTTCTTGATCTCCTCAGTCTTAATAAAGTCTGGGTTTATAGCAGTCGTGTACATGAAATATAATGCAGCTTCTAGCTGATCACCAACCTTCTCTTTACTCCCTTCAACAATTCCTTTCACTAGGGTTTTGAGTTCCTCAATCTTGTTATATTTCCCTCCTTTCACAATCAATGCATAGACCGGTAATATGACATCCGCGATGGTGTTGTCAAACGCAATCGTCTCATCAATCACGTCGCCAGTCATCACACCACCTTGAATACATTGGAATCCAATGATTAACATGTCCCTCTCGACGCCAGGACGACTCTCAGAGAACAACACTTCAAGTATTCCAGACTTCGACACTTCAGAAACTAATCCATTTGTCCCACACATCGCAACTATAACTCGCACAACGTCCTTTATAATACCTTCGTTACTCTTATAATCAACTAAAAACTTCTTAAAAAAGTCCAAAAACCCTTCGAAGAGCATTGTGACGACACAATGATAGTCGATGGATGACAGTCGTAATGCTTCCACACAAGCTGCAACAACTTCCTCGTCTTTTTCATACACAGTTAACACCATTCTGATCGTTTGCACAAGCAACTTGTCTCTCATCAACACCACCCCGTCAAACGAATAAAGCACGTGGATGACATTAGTGATGGGCTGTATTGCTCGTTCTTTAGTAATTTCGTACAACTGTTTGATCAGTGCCTGTTCGTTGACAACGACGGTATCGGTTGGTATCGAATCGACAGGTGGAATCAGTGAAGAATTTCCAGTGAGTGAGATGTACCTCCACGAGTGATACGTAGCTTCCAGTAATTTATCCGATGACATTGATTGTGGGTAGATGTACGTCGGGCAGAGTGTCATTAATTCCTTTGTAAACAATGGGTCGCAAACAGGTGCATTTGATGACGGTTTGTAGATGTTAAACGACGACGTTGGTGACAACAGAAGACTCAGTAAATTCATTGATTTGTTCGACTTCGTTTGCATCAGTATTGATGGGAGGCGAAGGTATAACATTCTCTTTCGTGAGTCGCGCTGTGTGGCAAACAATTGAAAAATCGATAAAATAGTTGAGCAGTTTTTCGCCATGTTTGATAACAAAAAGTCGATGCAATACGATGGGACCAATAAATGAGTAACTCCCTTTAAATATCGTTCGCAAAAGTGATGGAAATTATCTAAACACTCGCTTGTAAACGTCCGACTAAGTTGAAGCAAGTGGTCGTAAAACTCGCGTTCTCGCTCTTTGGGGTGCGTCAGAATCTGGTCTTTGAGCGTTTCTCGTACTGTTCCATTTTCTTGTTTTTCAAGTTCTTTAAAATGTTTTGTAAAATGTTTTTATTTCTTCAAGAAAAATGTTTGACGTTTTAATTAATCAGTTCCTTATATATGCAACTTATTTTAAAAATAGATTTATTCTTTGTTCTGTATTAAAAAGATTGAGGTTTTATTTTTTAGTTTGCATTTTGATGTATATTTTTTGACATAAAATCGTTCAATTATTGAAGTACTAGGAGTCTTGTCAACGTGAAAGGGTTTGTGATTGTTAGAGGAACATCTGAGTAAAATGCTTTATTAGCCACATCACTGAATTTCGAGTGAGTACCTATTTGAGTTATCATAAGTGTTGAATTAATGATGAAAGAGGAGTTGTAGTACTTTTGTTCTTTATAAAAGGTAACCCCTCCAAGTCTTTTATTTTTCAATTTCCATATTATTGGTGCTTTATTAACAACTAAACCTTTTTGAAGAGAAAACAAGTACATCTCTGGATCACTGTGAATGTACTTTTCTTGTTTTTCAATTATTGATCGTGCTATAAATTTTGAATGATAAGAACCGAATATATCCCCTTCTTCTGTTAAATATAAAATATAGACGTCTCTTCTACTATATAAACAATCGTACAGGGAAGCCATCTCAAGAACTTCTTTATTCGAATCAAAAATGATCTGTCTATCCTGATGTTTGTTGATCGTCTCAAATTGTTTTTTTATTAATAAACGATTACTTGTTATTTGTGGAAAAATTCGGGGCATTTGAATTTTTTCCAAATTTTTCTTTTTTACGGAGTTTTGGTCTTTCTCTCTTTTGTGATGCATTTTTTATTGAATTGGAGTTTTTCTTTCCATCTTTTTATTAAAGAACAATCATTAAATTATTATTCAATATAGTTTGGTTTCAAAAAGATAAAAGATGTGTGACGAAACAGAGGGGAACTTACAAGTTTTCACCAAAAATGAGAGAAAAAGATTGTAATATAATCCTAAAAATTTCAGACTCAAATGATCTAATTATTAAATAGTTTTCAATGTTTTTATTATCATTATTTTTTTAAAGGCAATTTGCGATTTGATTGGCATAGATGAACCAAACAAAACAATTAATAGAAGGTGTACCTCTTTTCAATTTAAAGTTTTCCAATAAACAAAGGCACTTGAAACTCAACAACTCAAAAATACAATAAACGAGTATTTATTAAAAAAAAAAATACAAATTATAGATTCTCATTTTCCAAAATTCATTTTTGGGATTAGCCGTGTCAGAAAGCCACAAATCAAAATTTGCCAAAAAAGAAAATACTTTTCTTCATTTTTCCCAAAAATGTTTTTTATTGTCCGCAAACCACACAAAACTCAAAAAAAACGCTTTTTTGTTCCACGAACAATCACGCTGTCAGCATAGAGAACAAAAAGAGAAAAACCTTTGAATAGGGTTATTAATTGTAACATTTATAGTTTTCCAAAAATCTCAAAAAATCAGAGGAGAAACGATGGAAGACGTCCCCATTTCCCCGATCTTGACTGAAAATACACAGAGTTACCACCAACCACTTTCCCCAACATTTTCAGAGGCGGATTTGACGCTCGACAAAGAGAATCGGATACCACAGACTTTAGAAGAGAAACGGAATATAGCTGCACTTCCGCGGAAGCCCAAGAACTCCGTCAACGAAGAAACGTTGAAAGTCATCCACAACATGAATCAAAGAAAATACAAAGCAAAGGATATCGCAAGTGTCACGGAATTAACTAAAAGTACTGTGTACAAATATATCGAGCGGATGGCTACAGAGAAGACCGACGAAATGTCTTCACTGCTTCGAAAGCGTGGGAGAAAGAGAACGGAGAACCGTTCGATGCAATCGAAAATCATGGAAATTTGCGACACACCCGGTGATAAGACTTTGAAAGATATTAAAGACAAATTGAAGGAGGAAGGTTATGATATCTCGATATCTTATCTCTCAAAGATCATGAAGAGACTCGGACTCGCAAAGGGAAACACTTTGAAGTCCGGGTTATTGTCGCAAAAGGATGACTCGTCTTTTAGCATGTTCACTCAACAATTCGAGGACATGCTCCCACCCCCTACGAACTAAGTCGCGTTCCCGACGGGCTCGCAATATCAGCGACACCCTGTTTTTATAACTTATATTCTTCTTATCCTTTTCAATTGACACTGAATTTATAGTTTTATTATAATTCATTTCTAATTATTCTGAATATAAATTAGAGTTATTAATTGAAATATAGTTTTGAGAACAACCTGTTTTTAAAGTAAAAAATGAAAAATTTAATTAGAAGAATATTTAAACAAAAACATTTATTATTATTAATTTATAATAAATTTAAATGGAAACTTAATAATAAATGGAATAATTATACAATATAATTTAGTTAATTAAAGTAAAATTTATAAGAAAAAGTGACTTGATACAATCCCAATATATACAACAGATTTAGTTTAATTTAATATAAAAAGAACTAAAATAAATCTTAAAGAAATGAAATGGGAAAGAAAGTAAGAAATACATTTAAATTTTGGCGTTGGAATAACGCCAAAGAAGAATACCAATAACAGTGTTAATAAAACAAAACACTACGAAAAAGAGACAACAGCCAAAGGCCATCGTCTTTGGGTTGGAATGCGACTCGATGAGGACGGGCTGAATCTGTTTTTCGTTGAAATTCAGGACAATCACCTCTTCAGATTCTTCTGTCACATTTGAGAAGGGAAGGAATGACATGTTTTTTATAGTTTTCTTTTTTTCTTTTTGTTTAAATTTGTTTCCGCCACGTTTCTCAAACAATCGATCTTACTTGATACCATGACAACTTGTGATTAACACAAACGGAACAACAATACACTCAAGGCTGGAAAATTTATTGATGTTTCAATGTGTCTTTAAAATTCTGACATAAAGTTTAAAGTTATTGACCTACATTGTATAAAGTGTCTGTGGAAGCAAAATTTAAACCGCATACACTCAAAAACATATTAGTCTAATCAGGCGATGACTATGTGAAAAAAATGGCTTGCCCCAATTAAGAGTATATGAAAATACTTTTAATGGTATTTAATAGTTTGTTATTTTTAATCAAAAACATAAATTTAGAAATTACATTTGGCACAAATTACATACACTAACATTCAAAAAGGGACAGTCACATTGCCTGTTTAAATGTAGTTTTAAATACGATACAAAAACTAAATAACAAATTAAACAAAACACGTGTCTTTATCAATACCAACGTGTTGTTAAATTCTACCCAAACACCTCGGAATTTCAAATAACATTTTCTATCATTAGATACTTCAATAAATAGTTCATTTAACCTTTTAAAAATTGTTTAATTGAACAAATTACTAAAACATAATTTAAAAAAGTTTAAATATATAAAACTCTTTACCGTAATATCCCGTTTTCTTCCACTAATTCTTGACAACCAGTGTTAAAAAATTCATCACTGTAAAGTTAAATCGATTAAAAATATTTACAAAGGTCTCTGTCTCTCCTATATAAGCCAAATTCAAGAGCTACACTCACCCTTACAATGGCAACCATTCAAGAACTCCAGACTTGCTCAACTGAGGCCGATTTCAAGACAGCCTCCGACACGGCCAAGAAGTGGTTTGCAGACATTTTGGCTGAAAATTGGACAGAGACATCTAAAGGCGACGTCCAAGTTTATGACAAGCCATCTAACAATTACCACCACTTCATCTTAACAAAAACAGACTCCAAATTAACACCACAGGCCTTTTTTGAAAAGGTAACCAAAGCTACAGTTGATGAAATTCACAACTACGACAAGGGACTTGTGTCCAACGAAGTCATTGAAAAAATTGGTGACATCAATGTGACCAAACAAGTTAACAGTGCTCCATGGCCTGTAGCTGCTCGTGAATTTATTTCCGTTGAACTTGAGTATGAGGAGAATGGTGTCTACTACATCATAAGCAGAAGTATCAACTATCCAAAGTGTGATACTGTTGGAAAAGGTTATGTGAGAGGACTCAAGTTCTTTGGTATGAAATTCACACCAAAAGAAGGCGGATGCTCCATAGAAAGAGTCTTGGAAGTTGACCCCAAAGGGAGTGTAGTATCCATTGCCGTGAGTTCATCAAAGAAGGAAGACGCAACACGACTTGCTAATATGAAAAAGTACTTCGAGTCTCATTAAGTCATTTTTAGTTCATTTTTACTATATTAACTATTAAAAATACTTAATAATAGTTAATTCTATAATAATTATATATAATTAATAATTAATTATATGAATAATTAATCATAATTATAATCTATATAAAACATTTTAAAGAATCGAATGAGTCAATATAAAGTAAAAGAATACAGAATACATACCAGAAGTATTTCTCACATGAGATACTCTGCGTTTTCTTGAACAACACCTTTGTGTATTAAAAATGCGACAAGTTCATCGTGGCTGATCCCAAACTTGTCATTGAAATACTTTTCGAGTCTTTTTCCTTGATTGAAATAAACGTCGGTAACGGTGGCGACGACATACCCAAAGGCTTTGATCAACATAATAAATATCACAATAATAAACACAATCGCTACTAACACAAAATAAAGAGGAATTCCAGGGACAATCGACTTCAACACGTAATTCAGTGAAAACACTTTTGCTGTAAGTCGCGATGGTGTGTCGTCAGTCTCGACCACACAAACAGTAATGTCTTGTGGTCTTAACACAGTCACATAAATCTCCGAGCCGGTCTCTGTCTGTGATATAAAAAACGTCCCGTCAAGCTCTGGCGTAAAAGTGATATGGGGATAATGAACAGAAGGGAGTGGTATTGTAGTTGTCCCACGTACAAATGTGTACTTCGTTGTAATTTGACAACGAAGAGATAACACCAGAGGTAACATAAAAACAATGAGCATTGTGTGGTTTTGTTGTTCGAAACTTTTTGAGGCGAATAAAGAAATATAAAAAAGTAATTTTGGATGAGAAACTTGATTCCTTTGAAATGATATTTTGGGTCTTTTGAATGAAAGAAGTCGGGAATGTATTTATAAATTGTTTGGTTATAGTTTTAAAAACTAATATGTATAGTTCGTGGGTTCAAAGAGAAAAATTGATTCTTTTGTGTTTTAAGTCAACAAATGGCAAACACACTGCAATACAAACTTGATCATTAAACATTACTATTTTACTATAGTATATTATAATATAATTAATAAATTTCATTACCAATACAATGAAATACTTCTTGTAGGTAAACTAAATTTATTCATTGAAAATTTTTTGAGTGGGTATTGTTACGACTTTTTTTGTTTATTTCAGCAATTTTTTAATATAAAATAGCGGGATTTCAATTTATGTAAATTTATAAAAATTATATGTGGTAATTAAAAGAAATAATTTGGTTCAAAAAAGTTTATTTTATGTGCAATATACACACGTTGGTTTTTTATTTTCTATTTTAATACAAACAACCTCCTTTTATGTATTATCTCGGGATTATAAATATAGTTTGTACTACTTATTATATAATTAATTTATTATTCTAAATTGTACAATACAATATATAATTATTTTATTATTCTTTATTTAAACAAAAAAAAATGAGACAAAAGAATTTGAATACTATATATTACTATTCGAAATAACAAATGTATTATAGTAAAAAAATTATTAAAAAATTAATAATAATTTTTTGAGGAAATGACGAACTTAACTAATTATATAGTACAATGGCTCATATAGTCGATCTATACCAAACAACTGGTCTTAATGAAGAGGAGGCACAAGACAGAAAGAACGCTTGGAGAACTCGTATCGACAACAATTTAGTGATAAGCAATCGAAAAGGACGTCGGCCAAATACTAACGAGCCGACAGGAGAAGCCGAGTCCCTGTACGGGAAAATCACAAAAGAGATGATGGGTGACAAAGCGATGCGGACAGACCCACGCGACTTAATTGCAAAAATGAAAGAGGCGCATCCACAAGCCGAGGAGAAAGTGGAGTATGCTCCGAAACGTCGGCGTAAAGTATATGATGCGGATGACGTTGGTGGCTATGTCCCGACGACGAAAGAGACAAAAGAAGAGCATGCCAAGATTCTTTCATTAGTCCAAATAATCTTCAGCGACAAACCGTACGCGTTCATTCGAAGTGCGACGCAAGACGTGATCGACATTTTGAAAACTGAAGGAACACCAACGGAGAAGTACGATAAACTCAAAAAGGAAATCGACAGTTCAATAAGTGAAGAAGCGTTTACCGAGATGTTGCAATCAAGTAACTTACTCACTGATTATGTCAAAGAAGATAATGAAGAGAACGAAGAAGAGAATAAAGAAGACGTTGTACCTATTATTGGTGATGAAGAGAGTGAAGAGGATGTTGTTTATGAGGAGCAAGAGAGTGAGGAGAATGAAATCAAAATGGAAGTTGAAAATTTGGAAGGAGATGGTATCGAAATAGACGCGGAGTACCTTCTTAATACAATGAAAAGTATATTCAAAGACGAAGAAGAAGCGAAAGACAGATGTTTTAAAGTCGAAAAGATCTTAGGAAATACAAGTCTGAATGACGGACAAGCCCAACAGTTGATTGTTGGTGTTTTGGGAGAGGAGAATTATACCACTGTGTCTGTTATCGTGAGAAATCGAGAAGAAATTGTTGGACGAATTGCAATGTCGCGTGCACCAACAGACGAGATAAGAGACGCGATCCGTCTTAAATTGCCTTCGACATTAAAACATTCAAGTGCAGAGAACTACGACGAAAACAAGAGAAAAATGAACGAGGAAAACGACGCGGGGCAATACACTCGCAAACTGAAAATTGTCGATTTTGAGAGTTTGAGTTTTGGCGACGGGAGTCACTTCATGTCAAAACAACAAGCAACTTTCCCTGAGAACACGGTGAGAACGGACACTGCAGAGTACACCCGCGTTGATATTCCAATGACACTCCCAACAGGTCCAACCGTTGATCTGGTACCCATTTCCAAATTTCCAGAGTGGGCTAAGTCCGCGATGAACCCGTTGAAATACTTGAATCGCATGCAAAGCAAAGTGTACAACTCGGTCTTTTTAACGGACGATAACGTGTTAGTGTGTGCTCCTACAGGGGCCGGGAAAACGACAGTAGCGTTGATGGCGATTTTGGAATGCTACAAGCAAGCTGTTGAGAACAACGAGAAGTTCAAAGTGATATACATAGCACCAATGAAGTCGTTGGTCCAAGAAATGGTGGGGACTTTTCGAGGGAAATTGGAGAAGCTTGGGTTGCAAGTGGGGGAGATGTCTGGTGATTCCACGTTGAGTAAAGGGGAATTGAGTACCACGCAAGTTATAGTTGCAACACCGGAGAAGATCGATGTTATCAGTCGAAAGACGGGCGGTGTAGGGAGTGCGAATGGGCATGGGATATTTGAAGAATTGAAATTGGTCATTATCGATGAAATCCATTTGCTTCATGACACGCGTGGACCAGTCATTGAAGCTTTAGTTGCGAGAGTAAAGAAATACATTGAGTATCAGTCACGAAATATACGACTGGTTGGGTTGAGTGCAACACTTCCAAACTGTCAAGACGTTGGACTGTTCTTGGGGTGTAAAAAGGAGAACATTTTTGTCTTTGGTGGGGAGTACAGACCAGTTCCTTTACAACAAACGTTTTTTGGAGTGACTGAGAAGAAGCCAATCAAGCGAAATAGAACGATGAATAGTATCATGTTTGATATAATCAAAGAGTCTGCGGGGAAACAACAAGTTTTGGTGTTTGTGCACTCGCGAAAGGACACTTTACAAACCGCGAAATTCATCAAAGAGCGCGCAATTGAAGAGAATATATTACACTACTTCCTCTTGAATAAAAAAGCGAGTGAAGAAGTCCTGCGCTCAGAGTCGTCGAAATTTGACAACACGGAGTTACAAGAGTTGGTGCGGGTTGGTGTTGGGATCCACCACGCTGGAATGAATAAAGACGATCGAAGACTTGTCGAGGATTTGTATGCAGACAACCACCTCCAAGTGTTGGTGAGTACCGCAACCCTTGCATGGGGTGTGAACTTACCGGCGCACACTGTCATCATCAAAGGGACTCAAGTGTATTCACCCGAAGCTGGACATTGGGAGGAATTGAGCCCGATGGATATCATGCAAATGATGGGCCGTGCTGGTCGTCCCCAGTTTGATAAAGAAGGTTCTGGCTATGTCATCACAACCCAACGTGAGATGTTCTTCTATATGTCTTTGTTGTCACAACAACTCCCAATCGAGTCGCAATTTGTGAATAAGCTGATCGACTGTTTGAACGCGGAAATTGTCACTGGGAATGTCAAAACAATGGACGAAGGCGTGCAATGGCTGTCGTTGACGTATTACTATATCTGTTGTTTGCGTTCACCAAAGATGTACTCTGTTGATGACAAAGACATTGAGAACGACCCCACACTCGAGTGGAGACGAAAGGATTTGATACATTCTGCAGCAACCATTCTCCACAAGAACGGACTGATTCTCTACGACCAGAAAAATCGAAGTTTTGCACCAACTGAACTTGGTAAAATTGCGTCGTACTACTATTTGACAAATGAAACAATGAGAAACATCAGCGACAACCTGAAACGAAACACAAACGAAATCGACTTGGTCTCGATATTTGCAAAGTCGTCCGAGTTCAAGTACGTTTCCGTGAGAGAGACCGAAAAGCCTGAAATTGAAAAGTTGCTCCAGCAAGTCCCAATTCCATTGAAGGGAAATGCAGAAGACCCTGAAACGAAAATTGGAATTTTGCTCCAGACGTATATTGGGAGACTCCAATTGCCGGGCTATGTCTTATCCGCAGACACCATTTACGTGTCACAAAATGCGTCGAGAATCTTCCGATCGATTTTTGAAATTTTGTTGTTAAAGAGGTGGGCACAACCAGCTTTAAAAGCGCTTGAAATATCGATCAGTGTCAACCGAAGGCTGTTTGGAAGTCAATGCCCGTTAAGACAGTTACACGGCGTCCCGTCTGATTTATGTAAACGACTTGAACGCGTCGAATTTCCATTTAGTCAAATGAGCGACTTGACTGCGGAACAACTTGGTGAGTTGATACGTCAACCGAACAAGGGGAATATGTTATACAATTTATTACACTCGTTTCCCAATGTAAAGGTATCTGCTTGTGGCAAACCGATCAGTCGAGGGATTTTGAAAGTCGATGTGAAGGTTGAGTTACTTTTTGAATACGATAAAAGAGTTCTTGGACACTCACAAGGGTATTGGCTCTGTGTTGTTGATATGGACGGAAGTAACATATTGTCGTATCAGTACTTTGTCCTGAAAGAGAATCACAAAACAAAGAGTTTGGACTTCGAATTGTATGTCCCAATTATCGAGCCTGTGCCATTCAGTTACTTCGTCTATGTTGTCAGTGATTCGTTTGTGAAATGCACGTCGACGTGTGTGGTTCGAATGGATACACTGATTTTGCCAACGAAGTTCATCACACCGACAAAAGTCCTCCCGCTCAAAGCCCTCGACACGCAATTTGTCATCCACGAATTGGGGTTAGATGGAAAAGTTAAACTTCCTTTCAAACTTCTCAACGAAATTCAGACACAAGTGTTCCAATCTGTTGTCGAGTCAAACAACTCTGTGTATGTTGGTGCTCATAGTGGTGCTGGGAAAACTTTGATAGCTGAATTGGCGATCATGAAACAGCTGAAGACGGATGAGAAGAGAGCTGTTATATACATATCCCCGTTTGAGGAAGACGCACAAAAAGCGTTTGAAGCTCTTCAAGCTGCGTTTGGAAATTATGTACGTGACATTGAGAGTGGAATTGACAAAATTGAGGAACAGATAATTTCTGGCGGTGTTATTTTCATCACCGTTTCCGACTTTGAAAAGATCATCAAAACGTGCAAAAGGAAACATAACGTTCTCGAGAACATCGCATTAATCGTGTTGGATGACATCCAACACATTGGAGAAGATGTGGAGTACGAAGTATTAATATCACGAATTAAGCACATCCAAAAGGAAAACAACCAACTTCAAATGCGACTGGTGTGCTTGTCACTTCCACTTGGAGATAGTAAAAGTCTTCGCGACTGGCTTGGCGTCTCCACTGGAAATGCATTCTCATTTTCCCCACAAAGCCGTGTTGCGCCGCTCGATGTGCGCGTCGAGGTCATGCGACAAAGCGAGTTTTTTATGCGAATTTCCGCAATGGTCCAACCGACCTTAGAAATTGTTTTCGATGCTTTGAAATGCAATAAAACAGTGACTGTTTGTGTTCCAAACCACAAAAACGTCATTCGCGTTGCTCGGGAATATGTCGCTCTTTCTCGAAAACAACAAATTAAAAACGACGAGCGGATTGTTGAAGTTCTCAAGCGATATCCTCTTGAAGATAACACCCTTCGCGAAGGGATTGAAAGTGGTGTGTGTATGGTATACAGCGAAATGTCCGAACACGATGAAATTATTGTCAAAAATGTATTTAAAGAAGGGATTGTCCGTGTTTTGCTTGTGACGATCGACCAACTGAATTCGTTCCGCGAGAGGTCTGACATCGGCGTTGTGATGGGAACCCTCAAATCGGAGAAAAGTGGGAGTGACATTGATATTGAGTTGTTGGTCAAATACATCGGGTTGATTAAGGAGAGTGTGACATTGTATTGTGAGCCAAATAAGAGGGAGTCACTCATTAAATTTATCGAAGAACCGCTGCCGCTCGAGAGTCGATTAATTGAACAAGAGAATGACACATTTGATGTTCTCGTACGCGTTTTTAACACTGAAATAGTGTCTGGTGATATCTTTGATTATCAATCCGCTATCGCATTCTTCGCGAACACATTTTTACTGAAGCGGATGAGGAACAACCCGAGTTACTACAACGTCAACGGAAGAGAGATGAGTGTCGTCTCTGGGTTCTTATCTAGTTTAGTTGAGAGCGTCATCAACAAGTTAGTCGAGATGGGTTTTGTCTTGTTTGACGGAGAAAAGCTAACACCAACAGAACAAGGAACTTTTGCTGTGAACAATGTCAATGAGATGGAATGTGATTGATTCTATTGATTGGTTAGGTTTATAGTTTATTTACTAGTTACACACCGGAATGAAATAATCTAATTCATTTATAATTAAAAATAGAATATCAAAAGAAAGAACAAACTATTAAGGAAGAGATGAAGCAGGCAAGGCAAATAGTGATAGAAAATAGCACACTCCCCCCTTTATGCCAGAGCGACTTTTCGTCACTCGAGTATGTCAGCGACGAGTGGTTTGAGAAAAAATCCGATTTAATAGTTCAGTATGTCAGAGCACTCCCCGAGAGTGTTATCGAGCCCGTTCTGGCATTAATCACACGTATGCATGCAACCTCTCATTTTCGTGGAGAGGGACAAAATCTCCTCAAAACCCTAGCGATTCCAAGACTGACTAGGGTTGGGTGTTCGAAAGAGACGCTAACAAGGGTTTTAGCGATGATGGTTTGTTGTTTTGGACGTGACAACGAGATTGAGAGGAGAAATGTGTGACTTTTAGGATTTAGGAATTATTGTGGGCACAAATGCAGCAAAAATCATCGAGATTGCGTGGACAGTTGGAATAGAGGAAGGCGTTTTGGCGACCTCAAAAGTCAAGGGTGATCTCTTTGAGAAAATCTCAAGTCATCAGTTTGCGAACGAAAACGAAAAGGAGAGAGCTTTCTTGCAAGGATTGAGATGTGGAGATTTGACAATGGAAAGAATCACGTCGTATTTAAGCGAACTAAATAACAAGAAAAAAGCAGAAGCGCCACGAGGAAGTTGGGAGGAGAAAAAAGACCTCATCACCAAAATCGAGCGTGTTGAAGAGGTCATCCGCATTGTCATTTTACGATACGGCTTTGGAATTACTCCATTTGTGAGTGAGTTTATGAATATTATTTTGGGGCATTTATCCCTCGCCAATTTTATTACAGTTGGCACGGTAGCCATTATTTTGAGTAATTTGGAACTGTTGTATGATCAGGTAAAAGGATCGTTGAATGGGTATGCATCATTGTTGTTGCCCTTATTCCTTCAATATGTGCAAAACAATATTTCTGTTTGTTATTATCTCGTTATTTACAAACTTTGTGTTTACTTTCAAAATGTCAATTCATGAATAGAGTGAACAACACATCCCAACGTTGCTTCAAGTAAAAATACTCGCGACACATATCAAAGAAGAGGCCATGCCGTTTATTTCGAAGGAGGATGTGGAATGCCTTGGGAAGCTTTTATCGTTATTTGATTGACTTTGACTTTAAAAAAGTGAATGACTTTTTGACTTTTGTTTCTTGTTTTCTCTTATACTTCATTGAATAGTTCTTATTATTACAATTTCTGGTTTAGTAGTGATTCACTCAATCCAATCATCATCTTGTTCTATTTTTTTCATCATTTTTGGAATTGGGTATAAAAATCTCGTAACAGCATCACCAATTTTTATTTTTTACATTCTATTTATATTCTAAAATATTTACTAGTAAATATAATATAAAAATTATAATTAAACAATTTTAAAAATATTTAAAAAAACGATAAAGCAAGTCAAACTTATTTTAACCAAATAAAAAAAAACACCAAAAGTGTTGAAGAAAAATTGTCTAAAACAACAAATCGAAACTCAAAAGTCTTTATTCACCATGCAAATCGAGAAGTATACACTCCCAAGCAAAATTGGAGTGAAGGAGTTACCAAAGAATTGGAAATCTATCAGCTCAAAGGTGATCAACCGCATCCGGTCGTGCACATTAGCCCCTATTCTAGACTTGGTGGAAGTTGACGATGAAGATGATTGTTGCTGTATTTGTTACTCCAAGTTAAAGGATTATCCGCTGAATGAATTCAACACATGTTGCTGTGGTAAACAGTATTTCTGTACACTCTGTTTACTCAACCACCCCGATTTCGACATCACGACGTTTTCGTTGAAGTGTCATACATGCAAGAAGTTAATCAAAAACTCGTACAACTACATCCCACCAAAACCAAAGGAAGAAATTAAAAAATCAAAGAAGAAAGCTCTTCGAAAAGAAATTAAAGTCTCCGAAGATTTGTTGCCGACAGTGAACGTAAAAGACCTCGTGAAAGCTTATGAACCGAACAACCCATATTCCCCCTTCACTAATTCACACAAAGACAAGTTCGACTTGGACAAACCAACGTATACATTACCAATGGCTACTCCACAAACTTCTAATTATACAAATGCACAACAAAAGAAGTACATCTCACCACTACAACAACAAATTCAATCACATACAGTCAACGTCTCACCAAAATATCTTCCACCAAATACTCAATTCCAACCACAAGCCCAACAACCCTCGGAAATCTATCAACCACAAATGACAATGAACGCGTCTCTTAGTGTCCCTCATATCCCAGTGTTCCAACCAAAAAGACAAAACACTCCTATGAGACCACTGCCTCATCAACCTTACCCACAATTCAAAAACCCTCCTATTAACCCAATTGGACAAAACCCATTTGGCTACTTTGACACTATTCTCTCTTCGACGGGACCGACACAAAACACTCAGTGCCAAAATCTGCAGAGAGTCAACCCACCATTTTATCCAGCAACAAACTGCTATTCCCCACAAGCGAAAGCCCCACAAGTCTTAAATCCACCAACTCAACAACGACAAAGTTGCCCACCACCTTCGATTTTGCAATCGAAGAGAGAGATGATGCAACGAATAGAGTTTGAGAAAGGGATTAACCCCGAAATCCTCGAGGCGTACAACCGTTTTGAGATAGAAATCCCTATCTATATACCTGTAAATTGTATCAACGAGATCGACACAACGCTCCTCTCGAACAAAGAAACAGCGCAGGTCTTACTTGACAGTGTGACGGACAATTATTTTAGAAATTGATTCTTTGCTTATTCTAATGTTCTAGTAACGAGAAGTACTATATGTTATAGTAAAAGAAAGTACAATTCAATGACTTCACAGTTCGTCCATTTCGTTTGGAGGAGCCGACTTAAAGTATAAGTCAAGTAAGACTTTTGCTTTGAGTTTGGACATCTCCGACAAATTGTCGGCGTCTGTTAAACTCGAAAGGATGTTCCCCATCCCAAGTTCTTCGAACGCGGGATGCGCCCCTATTTCCTTCGAGACACTGTCTTGTGTTAAAAAGATGATGGAACAGTCGATGGCGTTGATCACATCGTCTAATAAGAATGTACGAGACATCGATAAGATCTTAATCAGTGCACTCGCGACGCCAGTCTGTATCATATACTGTAACAAGTCTTGACGGTTCTGACACGCTTCTACACACGCCGTTAACGCATATAACGCACTTCGTGTGAGATATGTACTTGACCGATTGATATACCCAATCAATCGCTCAACTATTCCCGCATTAATTAAAGTCTCGGCGCGCATCGCGTTGCCCGCAAATAAATATCTGAGGATCAGCAGTGCTTCTATTACTATATCGTCTTTAGGTAATGAGTCAAAAAGGGCTATTAGGGTTCGACTAATGTCGCAGCGCATGAAGAAGTCGATATACCGATTATCGCTCGCAGCCATTTGGTGCAATAAATTGATGGAAGGCGTCACGATGTCTTCGACGCCAGACCGAAGCGCAGGAAGCAATTTTTCTAAGAAGAGAAATTTTGATTCGAAGAGAGGGATGTATCCTTTATTCAAGACTATACACTGATGGATTGCACCAGTCAAGTGCATAAAAGCTTCTGTCGAGTCGGCTTGTAAGACGTAATAGTCTGCCGCCGCATCGCATAATTTCTCCATCGAATTGGGGTAATTGTTCGCTGCTTGTACCAACGCAAAGTACATTGCCCAACATAAAGTCCCATTCACTGATGCATTTTGTCTCTTTTTAGCTTTGATTGTATTGATAATATTAATAAAATCATTCAGAGACTCCTCTGTTGTTTGTTTCATCACATAGAACCCTGCTAGGCGCATTGTATGTTCCAACACGTCAAAATGATTTGTTTTGTTGATGAGTAAATGAATGATTTTCGAAAGGTTTTCATCAAGCAAAGGAATCGACTTGGTTTGAACTATTAATATAAACACTGTAACTAGATGGTATTGCAACATCATATCATTCTACCTGTTATTACCATTATTCTATTATATATGTACTATTTATTGATATTATAGTCTTTAAAAGCAGTTGAGAAAAAACAAACAGTTTTCTCAGTCCAGGTGATAAGTGGTTGTATAGTTGGATAAGCAAAAGAAACATCCGCTGCTTTGTCCAACAGTTTTTCAAGACCTAATACAACATCATAAGTTTCTGCTTGTGTAGGGGTTGGACTGTTTAAAATTCGAAGAAAGTCGTTCATTTCCTAACTGTAATTTCTTTCCGTTGTATTTTTATTCTCATTATCTTTATAATGGACTATAGAATAGACTCCAAGAGAAGTGTTAAACAAACATATTGAGTTGAAGTAAATGTATCACTTTCATTTTCAATAGAGTGGATCCGTTTCATCCATATTAATTCTGTTCGTCTGCGAGAGCGTTGCTCCGCAATTTCTTCTTCAGTTCTTTTGATTAGGTCTTTAGTTCGTCTAAGGTGCATTGAACTAATAAACAAGTTCAATGTTTTATCTATCGAATTTCCTTTTGGTATGTTCTTTGTTGTTTTTGCCACCTACGGAATCAAAAAAGTGACTGTAATATCATTTTCTATTACAGAATAATTAAAATTAGTTATAGTATAGTATACAATAAAACAATATTATTCAAATGAAAGTGGTACAATGCTTTCCATTAAACAATAATCCAATGATTTTAACTTGAAGAATAGTTGGAATATAGTGGAAACAAATAAGAATTAGTATTCGTCAAATTTGGATAATGTTAAATTTATTTATTAGTAATATAGTATTTAATTAGAATAGATTTATTTGAATTTACCATCGACAGGTACTTTCTTGTTTATTGATTTACTTTTTTTTTTTAAACAATCAAAAGTGTAGATAAAAACAAAGTTTGCATCAGCAATAATTTAAAAACTAATACTAAATATGGAATTTTAGGAACTTGTGTCTTATTTAGGTTATGTTCTTGAAAATTAAAAAATAATTTTAATTGGTTGATTTCACTACTCTATAATTGTTTTTATTTTAAAGATATAATATAATTTTATTATAAATAATGGTTAAAATGATAGTAATCTATATTCGTTAAATGGTTTGATATAGAATACAGACAAAGAACCATTGTCTAAAAATGTTATTTAAAGAACAATTGCATTTCTATTAAAAATGGGTTTAATAAAAACTCAATTATAAAGGATATAGTTATTATTTATGATTAAATTATAATTATATTTTACCATTTGAATGATAGTAAATTTATAATTTAATTATCAATTAATCTAATAAAGAAAAGAAACTATAAAAACTATATTTTATATCTTCAATGCAAGAGGGAAATTATGGTTTGAGTGCCACAATAAGTATGAAGCGATCTCGTAACCAACAAATCGACGAAGTTTTATCCACTTCATTTTCCGATTTGGATACGTTAACACAAAATGCGGAACGACTTGAAGTGATTGCGGAAAAGTTTCAATCGCACACGACGGAAGGCAAAGAAAACAAAGAGTATCAGAAAATGCTGATTGAGTTGGGAATAGCATCACCAGTCTCTCGTACCGATTCGGGAAAGAATTTCATAGCAAATTTGATGTTTGAAATAGACACATTTACACATGAGTACTTCCTCAAACAAGGTGAGAGCGCTATTTTATTAACAGATCTTTATTCGATATATAACAGAGCTCGTGGTGATGTAGTTTCTCCTCGTGAAATGAAAGACGCGTGTGACTTACTGAATAGTAATGGGAGATTTATTGGGATGATGAACATCAATAAGTCTTTAATAGTCCACGACAGAGAGTTCAATTTGAATAACTTCCAAGTTGCTGTCCTTCAAACTTTACAACAAACAAAGCGAATAACTTGTCTTCAAATAGCTCAACACTATGGCATACAATTTGTTATTATCAAAACTCTAATGGAACAACTTGAGAGAAACGAAGTGATATGTCGGGATGAGTCTGAACAAGGTACGGCGTTCTATGAAAATATGTTCCAGCCTTATGTTCTTCACTACATAAATTGAATATAATTGAATACAATAAATCAAATTCTATGGAATAGATATAATTATAATAAATTTAATAATTATAATAAATACAATAAATATAATATATTTATAATATATTTATTATAAATGAATTGAAAATGAAACTTAAGAACTTAATAAGAACAAGTGATGTTTTTTGATCCCGAAGAACTAGACAACAAGAAAAGTAGAAAGATTTGTAAAGTATTGTTTATAACTGGATTTGCAATGATGCCAGCTTGCTGGGTCATTTTGATTTGGTTCTGTTTCTATTTTGTAAAGCCGACTACGGTGTACAGAAATCGATGTTTGTGGTTCATAAGAACATTGTATAACAAAATGAATAACAAAAAGATATACTGTTGGGATGTACACTCATCTTTGTCGAAACGTTGATACTCTTTGTGTGGAACTTGATATACCAAAATTCGTGGATGAAGTGGGGCGCTGTCGGTGATTACCTTGATGTCATTTCGTTCAAAGGGCAATTGTAATATGACACGCTTTTTATAGTTATTGGAATGGTTTCATTTGTAGTTTATTTTACTAATGCAACATATGCCTGGTACATTTTATAGTGAGCATAGTATAGTTATTATTAGTTATATAAATTACACTTAATAGAGTTAATAATTAAGATATGAGTGGTGTAAAAAAGTGACATAGGAAAAACAATAAGAATAACAAATTTTAGTTTTGAGTTGCTGTTATTTAAACGAAACCCCCCATCACAATAAGTAAATTTACAGCAAAATAAGAAAATGTTTACAAAAGATGCTTTAACAGATCCGTCAATGAATTTCAAGTTGAACGTTCTATTTTCAACAATTAAAAACACGATTGTAAAACAAAAAGGGTTGTCGGGAAAATCCCGTCATGATAGGACAGCATTCTGGAATTAATGAGAGGTGAAACGAAGGGATAATAAATAGATTTTTATTTGGATATGTAATAGAGATAATGCCCTTAAATAATGGAGGAAAACCCAAATGAAGAAGTGGAGAAAAATATCTAGTGACATATAAATACTTTGCTTGCGAAAAATTTGCAATTTCCAAATTTACAAAGAAACTGAATATATTTGGAAAAGGAGATGGCGGAGGAATTACCATATGAAGGGTATCTCGAGTGCAAATTAAACAAAAAGTGGAAACTCCGTTTTGCGACGATTAATGGGTCGACACTGTATTACTACAAAACAGAACTCGACGACAAACCCGAAGGGAAAATTGAACTGAAAGGCGGCGTGATGAACTCAGACCCCAAACACAAACTGAATGAAACCCATAAAAATTCGTTCCATTTAGTTATTGGAGACGTCACTCAGCAATTCAAATGGTTTGTATTTGAACTATTTAAACTACTATAATTAAACTATAAATATAGTTTATGCTCATGATATGGACTCACCACTAGTACACAAGACATGTTCAAAGAGTGGGTGGACGTCATCACAAAACGAGCATTGCTGGCTCCCAAAGAGGCCCCAACAAAAGCACTTATTGCAAAATCAAAACGTACGTTAATGGACAAAATCACAAGAAATACTGTTGCGTCGGTAGGTGGGAGTGGCAGTGCAAGTTTTGTGATGAACGACGAAGTAAAGAATTTATTGAGTGCGATCGAACGACTTGTGGAAATAGATGTTGGCAAAGAGGTTGCGAAAAAGACGGAGAAATTCATCATGAAATTGGTAGCAAAGTGTTACATGGAGTGGCAACATCATAACATCTCAAACGAACAAATTTATGCACTTGACAAACCTTTAAGAGAGGCGTTCACTATGTTTGATCAACTCTTTAGATACTTTGGGATGAAAAAAGCAGAGTTTTTAAAACCAGGGTTTCAGAAATTGGTCGACTTGTTGAATGAACAGATTAAAACACAATTACTAACTACTTTAAGACCATGTTTGTCTCCAAAGAATTTGGCTAAGTTACGTGAGCTATTTAATATGTTCTTTAAAGTCGAATTCTTCGAAAGAGTGTGGTCTAAGACTACACCCGAAGACGACGTCAGCGAACACTTGTTCAACATCGTACAATCTATGAACCAATATAATTCTTTCCCACTGAATCTTCCACAAGTCTGATTTTTAATTCACTTTGACTTGTGTTGTTTTTCAATTTCAAGTTGCTTTTTTAAATAATTATTTACTGCATTGGGCACTTTTTTTGACTAAGATTATGTACGTGAGAATTTATAGAAGTTCAATAGTTTCATCGTTACTAAGAAGTTTTAAAACGAGAGTTAAAAAACCGGAATAAAAAGCTTTTGAATTAGACTGATATTATTATTAAACATCGTTTTAATGAGATATCAATAGAGAATAATAACTTGATAATAGAAGTTGTATATTAAACATCAAATTACTTTGAGTATAATTCCGTCTTGTTTTCTATAAAAAACAAGGCAAAAACAAGAATAGTGTTTACCATTACTAATTGGCTTTCTTAAATAATGTCTCTCTTTTCTTGTTGATACAATTTAGTGTTTTTAAAGAGTCACATCTCGAAAATCAAAGCAATGTTCACAGACACTTCATTCCCTGCAGACCTCCGCATGATCGGACAAATCGATAGCCCAATTCCTTCTAATCTCACTTTCCTAAGGGCAGAGGAGTTCTTGGATAAAGTGAAATTGTATGAAGGGGGTATCGAGGCCACAGACATTCAACAAGGTTTGTGTTATTAGTGTTGTGTATCTGATAACTTTGTGTATAGTATAATATATCAACAGACAATAACAAAAAGGGATGTTAGGCGACTGCTATTTTTTGGCATCACTTGCTTCACTAGCGGAGTTTCCGAAGAGAATTGAGCGCCTCATCCGTTCGCTTGGGAACTGTAAGTATGAAGTGACGTACTATTACATGGGCAAGAAGCAAGTCATTGAAATTGATGACTTAATACCATGCAGTGAAAAGAAGCCGATATTCAGTCATAACAATGGGAACGAGTTATGGGTGATATTACTTGAAAAGGCGTATGCCAAAGTAGTTGGGAATTATGGTTTGATCGAAGGAGGGATCCCATTCCTCTCATTAAGTGATTTAACAGGGATGCCTGTGAAGAGAATTACCACTAAAAACATTGATCCAGAGAAGTTATTCAAAAAGATAGCGTCGTATGATAAGAAGAAGTATTGTATGGTTGCCAATGTACCAGACGTTCCAGGTGTTGACTTAGAGAAAGAATGGGGACTTGTAGAGAATCACGCATATACAGTCATTGGAGCGTATCAGACTGGTGGACAGAAGTTACTTAAAATCCGCAATCCATGGGGGTGCTGTGAGTGGAAAGGGAAGTGGAGAGATGATGACCCCGCTTGGACCTTTTTAATGAAGAAGGAGCTTGGTGTAGTCAAAGCTGATGATGGGATTTACTTTATGGACGTTGCAGACTTTGTTAGATTCTTTGATGAGATGACGGTGGTGTATTACAAAGAGGCGTGGGACGAGTTTAATAGTATAGACGTCAATATGACAGACAAACAGATGGAAATCAATGTTGAACTGAAAGGAGATGCTATTGTCTCATTGTCACAACAACGAACTGATGACAAAATAGCTTTAAGGATGTGGGCGATAGATTCTAAAGGATTGCCAGTTGGTGGAGAGACGGAAGAGACGTTTGTTATTGCGTCTAATATTGCAGGGAAAAAGATGAAAGTGAAGGAAGGGAACTATCGAATCATAGTCGAAACACATCAAAGTTGCGTCTCCAGTTTACCATACAAACTGACACTTTCTATTAGAAGTTCTAATGAAATCACTTTCGGAGAGGTCAAAGCTATTCCTCAAAACGAAAAAATGTCGTACTGCACTACTAAGCAAGCGAAAGACGCAGATAAATGTAAGGCTTGTGGATTACCACTACCAGCTAAGGGGATAGCAAAAACTAAAATCGGGTCGTTCCATTTGAAATGTTTCAAGTGCGACGTCTGTGGCGCACAGCTTGGAGGAAAATTTGGATTAAAAGGAACTAAGAAACTCTGTCCAAATTGTGTGAACAAATAACTTTTTAGTTTAATTAGAGTTATTTAACTTATTATTATGGAATATAGAATATATTACAAAATAAATACTATTAATTTATAATTTAAAAATAATAAAAAAAATCAACAATAATGAAACTTATTCTTTTTATTATAAACTGGATTGAGTTGTGTCAGGTACTTTTTTACAAAACAATTTTTAAATTTGTAGCAATGTACTATAAATTGAAGTTAATCAATAATTAAATAAATATAGATTTATTCATTGAAATTTAGTATTATATTCAAATAGTATATTTATAGTTTAAAAACTATTTAATTAATCTGACGTGGCAAGATTATTAGCTTTTTTGCAATAAACAGTCAATAGTTTATAAATAGTAAAAAATATTAAAACAACAAAAGTCAAAAATAAAACATGACATGGCAAACACGTCATTTCAAAAAAGTCTTAATAACAGACAAAAGAAAGCCACAAACATGGGAGATGCTACCCTTTTGTGAATGAAAAATAATAAAGACGTGGCGACGAGAAGTATAAAAGGGTGTTGGACTTTGATTGATTCATTAAATGAGTGCAAACAAAGGAACAGCAGTTGGTATCGATCTTGGGACAACATACTCCTGTGTCGGTATATGGCAAAACGACAGAGTCGAGATCATTGCAAACGATCAGGGCAACAGAACAACGCCATCGTACGTTGCCTTCACGGACAGTGAGAGGCTGATTGGCGATGCAGCAAAGAACCAGATTGCAATGAATGTGAAGAATACAGTCTTTGATGCAAAGAGACTGATTGGAAGACGCTTCAGTGATCCAGCAATTCAAGAAGATATGAAGCACTGGTCATTCACTGTCGTCAACGATGGCAATGACAAGCCGTTGATTCAGGTGGAGTACAAGGGAGAGACAAAAAAGTTCACACCAGAGGAGATCAGTTCGATGGTGCTGACGAAGATGAAGGAGACGGCAGAGGCGTTTGTTGGTGGGAAAGTCAACAACGCAGTCATCACATGTCCAGCCTATTTCAATGACTCACAACGACAGGCAACAAAGGATGCAGGCACAATTGCAGGCATCAATGTGCTCAGAATCATCAATGAGCCAACAGCAGCAGCAATAGCATATGGACTTGACAAGAAGACAGAGAGAGAAAAGAACGTCTTGATCTTTGATCTTGGTGGTGGAACGTTTGATGTCTCACTTCTTGCTATTGACGATGGCGTCTTTGAAGTGAAGGCAACAAACGGCAACACACACCTTGGTGGCGAAGACTTTGATAACAGAATGGTCAACCACTTCATTGCCGAGTTCAAGAGAAAGTACAAGAAAGACATTTCAGGCAATGCACGAGCAGTCAGAAGACTCAGAACATCGTGTGAAAGGGCAAAGCGAACACTGTCATCGGCAGCAACAGCAAACATCGAAGTCGACCAGTTGTATGAAGGCATCGACTTCTACACATCAATCACAAGAGCGCGTTTTGAAGAACTCAACATCGACCTCTTCAAGTCAACAATCGCACCAGTCGAGAAGGTGCTTGAAGACGCCAAATTGGACAAAGGGAGCATTGACGATGTTGTGCTGATTGGCGGATCAACTCGTATTCCAAAGGTTGTGCAAATATTACAAGACTTCTTCAATGGGAAGGAGATCAACAAGAGCATGAATCCAGACGAGGCTGTTGCTTATGGTGCTGCTGTGCAGGCTGCCATTCTGACTGGAAATGGTGGAAAGGCAACAGAAGACGTGTTGTTGCTTGACGTTGCGCCATTGACACTTGGCATAGAGACAGCTGGCGGTGTGATGACGGCACTGATACCACGAAATTCGACAATCCCAGCAAAGAAGTCACAAATCTTCTCGACATATGCAGACAACCAGCCAGGCGTGCTGATCCAAGTCTTTGAAGGCGAGGCATCCATGACATCGCACTGCAACCTGCTTGGCAAGTTTGAGTTGTCTGGTATTCCACCCGCACCACGTGGTGTCCCACAAGTCGAAGTCACATTTGACATTGATTCAAATGGGATTCTGAACGTGTCTGCTGAAGACAAGACAACAGGAAAGAAGAACAAGATCACAATCACCAACGACAAAGGAAGACTCTCAAAGGAGCAGATCGACAAGATGGTTGCAGACGCAGAGAAGTTCAAGGCGGAGGACGACAAGATGAAGGAGCTTGTCGAGGCAAAGAATGGACTTGAGAACTTCTGCTACTCAATGAAAAACACACTCAACGAGCAAATTGCAGCAAAGCTCTCACCAGACGACAAGGCGGCAATTGAAGCAACTATCAAGGAGACGCTCGACTGGCTCGACAAGAACCAATCGGCATCAAAGGATGAATACACACAGAAACAGAAGGAAGCTGAGGCGAAGATCCAGCCTATCTTCACTAAAATGTATCAACAGAATGCAGCAGCTGGTAACATGCCAGGCGGTATGCCACAAGGTGGTATGCCCGGTGCACAACAACAGGGCGCAAAGAAGAGCGACACAAAGGGGCCGAAGATCGAGGAGGTCGACTGATGTAATTCACTTGTCTTTACAAAGTTATTTTTAGTATTATATATAGTTTCATAATGATTTAATATTTTTAATGATTATAAAAATATCAATAGTTTACAATACAATATAAAATAATACATTTAATCATTAGCAACAAATATAATTAAATATACTATTTTTAATAGTTCTTCATATCCTAAAAAAAATTATTAATTCATAAACAGAAAACAAAACGAAATCAGATTGTGAATGTGTGATTGAGTTGTCAAAGTGTCGCTCTGTGAATAAAAGGATGGAAATTAAGAGGAAGTCCAATTGAAAATGGAAACACTCTTATTATGTGCATTTGTGATGATGGTATCAGCAGATTACATCAAGTTGTATGACGACGGCGACTTCTATGAGGGATTTGAGGTTGTCAATCCAGACAACTTGACTGTTGGAATACAAGACAAAGACAGATCGCACTGGGAAGTTGTGACAATGTTGCCTGGTGACTATATTGTGTTCACAACAAACGACAGCGTCTCAACAACAGTCCAAGACAAAGACAAAACGTACAAGACACTCAGATTCCACGTCAAGTACGACAACGACGACTTGAACAATATCCCACTCAATGTTAAGATATTCAGCACTGCATACGATTCATTCAACGAGACCACCATCAACAACACAGCTGGTTACACAATCAAGGTCAAGAAAAACAAGAACATGAAGGCGTACATCAAACTTGACCAATTCAACTTGAATGGTGAGGTCTCAACAATCATCTTCACAAGAACTGGCGACTCAACAACTTCTGTCAACTTGATGTTTGACGAGTTGGAATTGGACACAAAGGACACCGAGACAGACTCGTATGAGAACAGTGCATCGTCTTTGTTGATTGGTGTGCTTTTCTTTGCTATTGTTTTGACTTTCTAACTAGTTTTGTTAGTTTATCAACCATTGTTTATTTCAATACAAATATAACATGTTGTAAAAATGTTTAAATAAGAAACACAACTTATATAAGCTATCAACTGGTGCATTTAATAAAATTGAAATAATAATATATGTGTTGTAATGTCGCTCACTTGATGTCATTTAAAATCGACTTAAACGATACTATTATATCACTTAACAATAGTAAACAAAGAAATAATAATGTAATGAACTTGATGAAAATGAATTTATAACACGAGGAGTTACAAACTCGTATACACTTTATTTTATGATATTCATAGTTGCTTATGTGTTTGTTAATTATAAATTATCAAATTATAGATTAGAGTTATGATATGTGAATATGTGGTTTACTAAAATGTCATGAAACTTCTATTCGTTAAGAAAAACACATTCAAAACAAAGAAAAGTATCCAAACATTTCAATTGCTTTTTTTCTTTTTTTTTTTTGATAAATTAAAAATTCTAGTTTAATTAATTAAGAACATTACATTATAGGAAAAATGAAAAGAAAAAGAATAGCCAAAAAAGTTCGACTGAAAATTCTTTTCAAAAAATCAAAGAAGATGAGCTATAAAACGCCACTTTATAACGAAGAATCACACAATGATTGCATTCGTAGCACTCCTCTCAGTCGCATTTGCGATTGAAGTCAACTTGATGATGCCACTTGACACTGTTAACTCCAATGGTGTCAACAACCAGGGACAACTTCAAAACGATCTCAACAAGATCAAGTCAGCGGGTGTGGCTGGTGTCATGTCTGATGTCTGGTGGGGACTTGTAGAGACTTCTCCAAAGACTTACAATTGGAATGCCTACAAGACCTTAGTCTCTATGGTGAAGAACGCTGGTCTTAAGTTCCAAGCAGTAATGTCGTTCCACAAGTGTGGTGGTAATGTTGGAGACTCTGTGACTATTGAGATTCCACAATGGGTCAGAAACGCTGGCGCTTCGAATGACGCCTTCTTCAAAGACGCCGAAAACAACGTCGCCAACGAGTACATTTCATTTGCTTATGATGACCAGAGCATCTTCGAAGGAAGAACCCCAATTGAAATCTACAAAGATTTCATGGCGTCTTTCAAACAGAACTTCCAGAGTTACATCGACGACGGAACACTCAATGAGATCCAAGTTGGTATGGGACCATGCGGTGAGACAAGATACCCGTCATATCCACTCTCTAGATGGAGCTACTGCGGTATTGGAGAGTTCCAGTGCAGCGACAGCAAGTCACAGGAGAACTTGAAGAACGCAGCAAACAATGCTGGACACTCCGAGTGGGGACACAACCCAACTAATGCGGGTCAGTACAACTACAAGCCACCAACATCAACTGGTTTCTTTGGAAATGGAAACGACAACTACCAGAGCGAATATGGAAAGTTCTTCCAACAATGGTACTTCGACCTCTTGTTAAGTCACACCGACAAGGTGTTGTCTGCAGCAAGAAGTGTCTTTGGCGACAACTTGGCACTTGCTGGGAAAATCAGTGGAGTTCATTGGTGGTGGACTGACAACAGCCACGCAGCTGAGATGACAGCGGGCTATTACAACTCTAATGGAAATGACGCTTACAAAACATTGTCAAATACCTTCAAGAAAAATAACATCAGATTCGACTTCACTTGCCTCGAGATGTCGGGCACAGACTCTAATTGTGGCAGTCAGCCAGCTAACCTTGTCGACCAAGCTTTGAACGCTGCATCTTCAGTTGGAATTGGAAAGTGTGGAGAGAACGCACTTGAATTGTGTGGGTATGGCGGATGCAACACTAATGGATTCAACCAAATTGTCAATAAGGCCAAACAACACAACCTCAATGCCTTCACTTACCTCAGAATGACAAGAGGTCTTCTTGATGATGGCAACGCCTGGGGGCAATTCTGCAACTTCGTCAACTCAATGAAATAATTTATTTCTATTTTTTTCTATTTTATTAATAATACGACCTTTATTATTCTTCGATTGAATTAAATTCTATTTATAATTAATTAAATGCCAATCAATTATTGACTTGAAAAAGTGTAAACATATTAATTAATATAGAATTTGTCAGGTTGAAATTAAAAAACAATTGGATTGGACTTGTTAGGTCGTTTTGTGCAGAAATTGTATTTCATCGCGGCATCATAACGTTGCAATTTTCTATTTTATTATCTTGACAAGAACATTGTAACTCGGCAATGATTTGAAACAATAAATTGAATAATTAAAGTTTTAAAAACAGTCCAAATAATGCGACTACTTTCCAAATAAAGGTTGAATTGTCCAATAAATTAGAAAGAAATATTAACTTTGTTTTATTAAAAACAATTTTATTTTATTGTGAATTAATTAACCAAACAATTAATTAAAATATTAACAATTATTAGATTGTTAATAATTTGACTTGTTTCATATTCATAGCATAATAATAATTGTTTAGTAAGTTAGTTTTAGTCTCTGATAAAGTCTACCTGAAATTTTGGTTTTAACTCAAGTAAGTTCTATCAACTTTTTAAATCTTGTAATTGGAAGGTGAAACTAAAAATCATTAAAATAAATAATGGCTAATGTCAAAAATGACGTTTTACGAATCCCGAAAAAATTCAAAGTGTAAGAGTTATACTGAAAGAGACAAATAAGTAGTTGTTTGACAAAAATAACCGAACAAAACGGGCTTTAACGGAGTTGTTTTGTTATAAATGTCGAGAATGGTAAACCGATAGTTAAAAGTATTACAGTTATAGTACATTTTTACTGTTTTACAAAAATAGAACAATTTTTTGAACAACTTTATATATTAAGTGATGCATTTTTGAGAAAAAAAGATAATTCACCATTTACAAAGAAAAAGTATTAATTTACTATTAAATAATACGGGAAATCACATTAATTCTTTTTCATTGGGTTTCTCATTCCAGAAGAGCGGAATTTTAGCAAGTCAAATTGAAGAGCGAAAAACAAAAGGGAGGTGTGTTTTTAGAAGTGAACCATGAGTCGTTTAGTACAAAGAATCGGGACGTTGAACCACTCCAAGAGTTCAAAAAGAGTCAAAAAAAGAAGAAAAGCTAAAATCAAACAATAGAAATAGCACATAGAAAAAAATCAAAGATGAACTGGAAAGAATAGACAACGAAGAATAAGATGTCTGGGTTACTCAATCGCTATGGCAAGCGCGAGAATGCAAAGCCTATGACAACACTTTTCTTTGCGCGCCTTGGCGCGTCCATGAAAGAACAAGTCCTTAAAGACTATTGTAAGCATTATGGAGAAGTCGTCGATGTTACAATGGTGTGCGATAGAGAGACCAAAAAAAACAAGGGCTGCGCCTTCGTTAAATTTAAGACGTCCGAAGAGGCTCAGCAATGTCTTTCTAGTTTTGAAAATCTTCAGGACAACCATTGGATCGTCGAATGGGCAAAGTCAACGCAAATCAGAGACTCCGACCTCGACAAGAAGACTTTGTATATCACAGGAATCTCAAACACAAAAGCGACAGACACCGATGTCTACGATCACTTCAGTCAGTACGGTATAGTCGAGAAAGTCACTGTAGTTGGAAAAGGTTTGTTTCTAGTTTATTTATAATACTTTTATTATAAAGATACTATACTGAGTCTTGATACAGAAATGACGGACAGACGCCGACTTTCCACCGTACGCCTTTGTCAAATTCACCGACGAGAAGTCCGCGAACTTGGCGCTGAAGAATGAGAATGGAAAGAAGTGGGATGGTGAAGTACTGATCATTCAATTCAGTGAGACTTTAGAGTCAAAGAAGAGTCGTCGCCTGAATCGAGTGAAGCCACAACAAACTTACATCTCGTTACAACAACAGCCTGAATTACCAGTGAGAGTCTTGCGAAGAATAGAACCAGAGGATGACGATCGAGAGAATTCCTTATTTAAATCGTTACTCTCAGCTTTCAACTTTTCTTCAGAGAGCCAACCAACACCACCACCAGAAGACGATGACCAAATGCTCATGAGAAAGTCGATTTCAGAAATGAAAAAGGCAGACTCCCCATTGTTGCACAATTATGAAAAAATCATTAATCAACTCGAAGAAGACGGAAACACCACACTTAAGGACCAAATAGACGAGGTTAAACACCCATTCACGTTCTTGGACGACGACGTCTGGGGGCCTTTCCAATAACTGTTTTTAATTTATTCAACAACGCTCGGACTTATTTATTTCTCCTTGTTTTTCGTGGTTTTGTTCGCAAGACAAATGCCATTAACATAATAAAAAGTATTCTATTATTTTAATACAGAGATTGATTGATTGTTTTTTCAAAAAAGTTTGAGGTTTCGACGTTGTCTAACTTTTTTATTAATGTTATGGTTTATATCGTTTTGTTTTCAAATATTTGTTTCGCTTGATTTAATTATTTGTTTAATATATTATACTAGACAATCAATCTATACAATAAAAGTGAAATTTGGCGAAATTAAACAACTTTCTTTTATTATGGAGAGTGTTTGGTTAATATTTTGGTTGTTAAAAAAGAAGTTTGCTCAGAATAAGTTGTGTCAATTCTTATTTAGTATAATGAACATGGTTTAATTATAAATCCAAGACATTGCGTTTGTTTCTTTAAAAAATTGAAACAAGACCAAAAATATTTTGATTTTCTTTTTAAAAATAGAATAGTATTTACTATCGGTATATTAGATTCTTCTAATTCCACGTGTTTTCCATTATTATTAATCAATAGTTACATATCATTCAATTATACTATTATGTCGACTATAAGAGAAAAACACAAGTAAAATGCTTGTTCTATTATGAAACAATAAAACTTCTAAAAATAAAGCTTTGTTTCAAAACTCCTTTCAATGATACAAAATATACCCAAAGTTAAGTCATGAAGATTAGTGAATGTTGTTTTTTCTCTTTTTAGGGTGTTTTTACTTATAATTAACACAACAAACACTCAATAATATGGGGTCGTTTTAAACAATCAGACACAAGAACACCTTTTCTTATTGTTTGAATGCTTTGGTTTTGTATTTTATAACTATTAACAATCAATAAAAATATAGTTCATTGTTTGCTTTCATAATATGGATTTTGGAGTAGAGTGGACTGTAAAGACTTTTCAAAAATAAAAGCCTAATGAAGTGAACTGACTTAAATATTTCATGTTGTCTTTATTAACATTACTGTTGCTAACTTATGGTGTTCTTTCTCAATCTACAGAAGAAAACAATACATCATCATCGTTTACTAATGATACTAATGTAGAAGAGTATGTTCCTCCCCCATTTACTCCCAATGAGAAAGACTCTATTCCAAGAAATAGAGCAAAACATCCAGTCTTGTTCACTGGAAAGACTCCAAAGGGGTTTCTGAATTTTTGTGAATCTCCAGACGGATTCAATTTAACAAGAGACATCACAAAAGATTGTTTTTATAAACCATATGTCGAGTCGGTAGCACTTCCTTCCCTTTTTATGTTAGTAGTCATTATAGTACTTACTTTGGTTATATATGTACTATCATGTGCTAGATGTTGTTTTGGGCCATGTTGTGTAGCTAAGCATGGCTGTATATGTCCTAAAGATGAGAAGTCATATGGTAATATGCAGTGGTGTTCTTTCATAGTGATTAATGTCGTGGTATTCACTTTATTGGTTCCATTCATTGTACTTGGAATATTTGGCAATTCAAAGACAACAGTAGCCTTCAAGTCTTTTGGAAATACACTCTTTGACACATACGACCAAATTAAAAACATCTTCGACCAAACTACAGAAGCTTTTGTTTCAATTGATCTTGAACCATTGAAACAGACTGTACCAAATTTGGACACTTCTATATTTGACCAAACAAAAGAAGCATTAAATTCACTAAATAAACAAGTTCGTACAATCGATGGTACTGTTAATTTGGGTCGAAAGTATATTTCAAGTGTTTACATAGCAAGAGAAGCTCTTGTTGATGTCATTTTACTCCTTCCAATCATATGTATTGTCCTCTACTTCATTGGAGCAATTTGTAAATGCCATTTCTTGACAATTCCTATGTTCCCTACTGCAATTGTATTTGCAGTACTTTCGATGATATTGGTAGCTATTGAATATCCAATGGTCACAGTTACGTCAGACGTCTGCACTTATATGATCGACGAAATGAGTCCTGAAAAACAAACTGGAAGTAGTCAACTGGAACAAGTCTTTCAAATTGTTAGAAATTGTCAAAACTCCACTTTACAGAATATGACTGATTCTTTCGAAACAGTTCAAAAAGACATTATAAAAACTGCTTTGGACTTCTATGGTCAAATATGTACTGATGAAATTGTGAATACTGGTGACTTTGTGAAGTATGATGAAAAATTCACTTGTACAGGAGTTACAAATAACAATACGGCTTGTGTAGCTGGTTTAAATCAAACGATTGAAGCTACTACAAATCCAATGTATTGCCCAAGAGACCCACAAGTCGATTCTTTTGATGGTATTTTGAAGTTAATGGATTCCATCTTCATCAAGAACTTCATGTACTATTTTATCGACGGTTCTAAAACGGATCAAAGTGCTTTACTTCAACCAGTTAGATGCGAGTTCCCAGCTTGGCAAAATTCCACCGAAGCCATAGATAAGAAATATATCATTACTCCAATTGCTTGTAAATATCCAAGCAACATTACCATCAACAACTGCGACACTGAATGTCCAGAGAACTTTAAGAATTACAGTACAAACATCAAGAATTTGAAATCAGTTGCCGACTCCTTAGTATCAATCATCAACTTAATCAATCAAGAGGTGTTACCTTTAATCAAGTGTCCATCCATCAATCGACTTCTAACTAATCTCAAAGAAGCCACTTGTTATGAATTGATCTCAGTTGAACCTCCTTTGATGATTGGTCTTCTTGGGTATTCAGCAGTTCTATTGTTAATCTTTGTCGTTGGGTTACTCTCCATCAAGCGGTTTAAAAAGAGCAATTACGACTATGTGGACGACAACCCAAAATATTTCAGTGAAAACGAAATGCTAGAAGTTCATGGTTAATTGTTATTTATTTTTTGATAATGGAGTTATTGTTCTTATATGATAAATTTTACTATTTTAATTCGTTTGAAACATTCAATATTTTAAAGGACGTTTTACTATTAATAATTATAATATATAGTTTATAACTCTATTTAACTTATAAAACTATAATTTTAAATTGGTTATCTTCACATAGAACCTTTATAGTTTATAATAATTCTATTTTTCAATAATAAAATAGATATTTCGTATTATAAAATAAACAAACTATATATATAGTATATAATATATATAAAATAATCAATAAATTCATTCGTCATCACTTAGTCCATTTTTCAAGGGGAATTTTTTCATTTACGACACGTTTAAGTGTTTCAGGTGAAGTTGGACGTAACAGTTTTGATTCCATTTTATTCTCTTCATAATGATCAGACTCTTCATCTTCACTTTTTAAAGCCTCCTCCATAAACGCCAAAGCACTTGAATAATCCTCCCCCTCTTTTTCTTTTGGAGACCCGATCTTTTCTATTTTCTCTTCTTGAACTTTTTGCTCGACTTTGGTATTCTCCTTTTCTTCCTCCTTTTCTTCGACCTTCTCTTTAATACCAACTTTCTCTAAATACTTTAAACAATATCTTCGGTGTAACTTTTTGTAAGCTATTGGATAATATAATTCACAACACTCGCATTGTTCTAAAGAGTAATCACAAGCGTCCCAAATATGATCCCTCAATTCCTTTTTCTTCATTTCAAGTTTACAATATTTGCACTCGACAGTTCCTTTCTCTTTAGTATTAGCTTCTTTCTTGTCATCTTCAATAGCCTTATAGATTTGTTCTCGAGTGAATATGTGGTCGAAAACGATATCGAAGATTTGGCCATCCATCACAGCACAACCGTCGGCCTTTCCATTCACTTCACTGATTTCTATATTTACAATTTCAATGCCACAATTGGACGGTGTGTAAAAAAAGAACCTTTGCCCACCAAAGAGACATTTCGTTCGTTGAAATAGGCCATTCAAAACTGCTCGATAATTATCGATGGTGTAGAAAAAGCAACTGAGCGGTTTTATCGAGATAGACTTGACCACGTCCAACACTTTAAATTGAAGCACTGCAGTCCCTTCAGTAGAAAATACAGTCGATCTGAAGTGAAGCATAACATCTGACGACCTTCCAACTACTCTTCCGATAAAATCACATTTCTCAGACCCAACTGAATACAAAAAGACGTATATCGGATTTTTAGTCTTTTGTTCTTCCTTCACGTATTTATCATATAGCCCAATAGGGAGGAGAACTTCGTCACTGAATATCGTCTCGCCCTCTTTGTAGTCATTCTTCAACACGACAACTGGCTTCATCTCCATCCACGAAAACATTTATTACCTTTTCTAGTTTGCACTCAAAAGCGATAATATAGAACACCAAATTTGATGAGTTTTTCCTCCTCAAAAAACGTTTTTAAAATGTTTTAAATAACAAAATTAATAACAAATTAACAGTTGACTGACAAAAAGCTCTTTCTGATGACGGGGTAGAACTGTGTTGGCAGCTCAACGACAGTGACGTTATCTGCGACTCCAAGTGCTTGTTTTGCGAGTCTCGACTCGACCACATCTTGTGGTGTTCTGATTTTGTTTTTGTTGTAGACGTACTTTTCCAGTCTGAGTCGCGCCACATAAGGGACGATCATTTTGACACTGGGACATGATATCTTGAGATCTCTCATCAATTCATTATTCAAGTCGACAATTTCCGAGAGTCTTTCGCAGTCTGTGATGTGTAATTTCGAGAGTGTAGTGGGGAGATGTAGCGAGGTGACTGTCGAGCAGTCGTTAATTTTGAGTTCTTCGATTTTCAATTTGGAGAGTTCTGGGAATGGATTTGGGTTAAATACAGATAACGACAATGACCGTAACGAGGGAGGGAATGTCAACGAAATGTGCATGAATGTGTTGATTCTCGACAATGAAAGGTCGACGACTGATGTGTACAGTGAAAGATCAATTTTAAATAAGTCGTTAATGACTTCTCGATTCCCAAAGACAGATATTTTGAATGGGAAATACTGACTCCAAGCCTTCACTATCTCTGCATCGTCCACGACATCTGGTGAGACGATAAATAGCTTTTTATTATCGACTAAAAGTGGGATGTTTTCATTGACCATGAATGGGTATATATTGTTAAATACGGAAGATACTGTCACATATTTCTGTAACTCTTTGAACTCAAATGACTCATATATCGATTGCTTCAATCCAATCACTTTGAAAATCACTTTAATACGCTCAAAATTGAGTAAGGCAAGATACCTTGGAAAAGCACTAATATTACTTGCAGATGCCTCGATAATTAAAGTTCTAAAGAACGGCAACGTATTGAGTAAAGGAGTAATTAACTCCAATGAAGATGGACTTATATTGAATCCATAGACTATCGTCAGCTTCTTCAATGCGTCCATTCTGGAGAAGTCAAATGTTGAATTGACATTATTAAAGATATAGAGAGTCAACTCTGAGACTTTACTAGTGATGTCGATATCTTTAACTCTCGCCTGTAAGAATGGAGTAAATAGTTTGATAGACAAGTTATATCTCTCAACATGAGAGTAGAGTGCTACATCAAT